TTGCATGTGCCAGACGGTCAACCCCAAAAAAAAAAAAAAAACGTAGGTACGGTACCTACCGGTAGGTATTAGGTACAGACCACAGACTACAGTAGGTACAAGGTGTCAACAGTCAGTGCCGAAACCGTAAACGTGTGCGTTGTGATCTGGCAGTGTCATACAGTGACGTCAGACTCACCGGGGTAATCTGAATCGGAGTGCTCAGCGCGCGCCATCGACTACCTACGGTATACGGCGCCCAAGTGCAGATGCCAGACCAACCTGTACAGTGTACAGCGTTACAGCGGCGGCCTTCTATATCTCCCAAGCAGTTCTTCTGGTTCTTCCAAAAGCAGCTTGCCATAGGTATCTTTCGATAATTCACACTTCTTTAAAAGCGCAGCGGCATGGGCCGGGCCCTCGCCGACCTTCCCCAAAGCCTGAGAAAGTGTGTACCTCCCAAGCAGTTCTTCTGGTTCTTCCAAAAGCAGCTTGCCATATGTATCTTTCGATAATTCACACTTCTTTGAAAGCGCAGCGGCATGGGCCGGGCCCTCGCCGACCTTCCCCAAAGCCTGAGAAAGTGTGTAGGACTATGTGAGGGTGTGTTGGTAGACGGTTCATGTTTTACGTACCGCAGTTCTACAGCTGCCTGACTAAAGCTGCAGTGTCAATGTCACCCAAACGCTCAGCTGACGACGATGTAGGTAGCTAAAGTTTAGCACGTGTACCTAGGGCCGTCCGAATTTGATTGGCGGTTTCCTGTCCCCGACGGACCCAAATTCTGAGGAATAACCGAGTCGGCTGATAAAATATTCTGAAACTATGGAAGTCAAAACCGATATTTGTCATCCGAAAACGGGAATTTGGTTTGACAATTAGACGCAATCAGTCAACATGGATACTCTGAAAGGTTTGTACCCCGGTGTAACGTCCAGGTTCACTACCAACGCTAGGGAAAACGCATGGTGCGTACCGGTAGAGGCCTTATGGAAGTCAAACGAGAGCGGTAACGCTGATATCCGCCAAAATAACCCTTACCATCCTCTGAGGAATATTTATTATATTCTTCCGACCGACCGACCCAGCCCCGGAGGGGGTGGACAGGAAACCGGAAATATAATTCGGACGGCCTAGTGTAGAGGTTTGAGTTGAATTAAGGAGGATTTGAGACAATTGCAAGGACGGGGGCGGAAGGAAGCATGGCGTCTGCAGAGGTGCTCCTTGCAGCTTGCAGGGATTCTTTGGGTGCAATCAGGGACTTGAGGGGGGGTCTAGCGTTTCACAAAGGCAAGGCAGAGGAGCTGGTGAGCAGGCTGGAGTTTTTGAGCCAGTTCCTTGAAGAAAGCAAGCCAACTGCACAAAAGCAGCTGAAAGGGCTGCTTGAACTCTTTGTGCAGGTGTATAAGACGTTGCAGAAGTGCAGTACTAGGAAGAATCTGGTGGCGAAGGTCATTTCGTATGCTCGACTTGGAGACGAGATTCTGGATTCTAACGGGCGCATCTGCCTTTGCCTGGGAGATGGGGAGCTCATCGAGTCGATTCCCCGGGAGCATCGGATGCCGCTGAAGAACCTGAGGAGACGCCTGCAGGACACTTCTCCACTGTGCGTGGACGAGCGGGCAACAGATGCCATTCCTGAAGGGGCCGTGCTCCTTGATTTGGAGGAGACTGAGGAGGTCTGCATGTTTATCATGGAGTCGGTTGTCAGAGAGTCAAGCGGAGGTGGCAGAGTTCGTGGAGTGGGTTGATGAGCCGGGCGCCAACGCCTTCTCCAAAGGAGCTGACGGTCTGCCTGCTGTTTGGCAGGGGTGTGGGGTCGATGTATGGGGGAGAATAGGACATGAAGAGTCAACCCGTGTTAAAGAAGCAGCTGATTTCCTCTTGGGGTTGGGAGTTGGGCGAGTCTTCCCACACGGGATCGCTCCACCTGAGAGGCTCTGCTGTCCTCTTACGGGTGCATTGCTCTTGGACCCTCTCGTCCTCGAGACTGGGATCCCGTACCATCGCAAGGGCATTGAGTTCTGGTTGCAGAGGAATATGAGCTGCCCCGCTACTAAGCTCCCAGTCAGCAACAATGTTGGACTTCCTGAGCCGGGTGTGAGGGCTGGTGCTATAGCCTGGGTGCGCGGTGTTGGGCTGCCTAGGCTCATGAAAGAGGTGCTCCCTCCACAAAAGGACTGCGACAGAAAGGCCCTTGAGAAGCTCCTTGGGGAACTCAGCAACGAGGATCTGGCTGAGCTTGCGAATGCTTTGGCGAGCTTGATCCAGCTGTTTGGTCACATGATGGAGAACGGGGAAGTGGACCATCGATTGCTCAACGTGCCTGGCTGCACAGAGAGCTTAGTAAAGCTCCTGGGGAGCTCTCATGCTCTACTACAGGAAATGGCAGCAGAATTGATGTGTTATGGTCAGGTCGAGAGTAGGCTAACAGGTGACCAGTCTGATGAAGCTGCAAGGCACCTAGGGGCCCTTCTCAACAGCGAAAGGGAGCAGACTCAGATTTGTGCGCTGGACGCTTTGGACTCGGGGGAACAGTGCATAACCATCTTTGAGTTAGGACCAGATGTGTTGGTTAAGATAGTGCAGCTTGCTCAGAGCGAGAGCCACGAAGTCCAAAGCAAGGCGGTGGGTTTGTTGGGGAGTCTGTTGATGTATGCTGCAAACGGCGCTCAGAAAGACGCAATCAGCAAGGTGCCGAATCTTTTCTGGGCATTGATGGGCATCTTTCTTCACCACCCTAGTGCCGACACACATATGGAGGCATTCAGGGCACTGTGCAGTCTCCCCCTCCCAATCGGTGTTAATCTTGCGGACGTTCCTGGCTTCATAGAGAGACTTGTACGACTTGAGTTCCGCCGCGTGGACATGTACCTTTACGACGCGTCGACCTGGTGGGACGAGTTTGTGGAAACGCCAGAGAGTCTTCCAAGACTAGCCGGGTTTCTGGCTGGCTCAGGAAAGGAGCACCAGGCAGCAAGGGAAATTGGCATGCTCCTCGGTCTTCAGGACGTGCCGGGCCTGGATGCGCTGCTGACATCAGAGGCTTTGAAAGAGATGCGTGTAAGGGAGCCTGCGGCGAAGGTGTTGTTGCAGCTGGTCTCCGAGTCTGAGGCGATACCGCCTGTAAATACATGACGATCAATTCCACGAGAGAACTTCTGGGTGTATATAGGGTTTCTCTGAGCTTTGGGAGTGACTCTAATCGTTTCGAAATCACATTGTTATTAGGCAGCTTACGGGACGTCAAGTGCAGTGGGTGGTGTGCCCTTCAGAGCACATCATATCACAAGTTGTTGGATTTTGGCTTGCAAGTGTAACTATACGTTTTACGATTGCATTGGCCATCCTTAGAGATGTCAAACGCTTCAATCTCCTAGCCCGGCCATGATATGAGAATTGATGGCATGATACAGCCCGCCCTCTGGTCCTGGCGCTTGGAACTCCATGTATGGAACCAGTTTGGTGACACGCGCTGGCCTCAGGCTCTCCCGCCTATGCATGCCAGTGCCGGGAGGCCAGCTTAAGTGATGTGGTGAGCGACCACGTACTATTGGTCTTGACGCCTTCCAATTGTCACCATGACCAACCTTATAGCCAGGGCTCTAATATATACTCATGCATATGCAGCTGTGATTGACCCGAGAATACCTGGATTTCACGCGTTCAGTAGCGGGCCAAGTTGCCGCGGCTTTGCATTGCATTTGTTTTGATTGTTCCAGTTTTATGTACATGGCGTGTGCCGCGATCTGCCCGGGTATATGCATGGCGCGGCTCTATGGGCCAGATCATGCGCTAGGCTCGGGCGCTTCAATAGGCCGGACATATGCACCATTGAAGGCAGCTTCAGAGTTAATTTATTAGAAGGAGTGCATGCAGCTGATGCCAGCATGCATATTCATGGATGCTCATGCTGCATAATGCACATGATCATTGCTATCATACATGCAGTACCACCATGCAATGGCGGTAGCTCTACTTCAGTGGAACTTCAACAAGTTTCAGCTCTAGCCAAGCTATCGGACACCTCGACTCCATGTACGCGCCAAGAGCATGCATGCAACATGTCCATGGGAAGCCCAAGTGTCCGAGGCAGAAAATAACCAACAAGCCCAACTTTGGAATCTAGTCACTCAGTGAAACCACGCGGCAACCCATGCACGGGTTAAACGATGATTTGTATCAAAGCTGATATACCTTGCAGAAAAAACCACACCCCTAGAAAAAGTGTGAAATTGAAGTTTCACTATTATGTCACTTATTACATTCTTTCAATGCTAAGTACCAGCTGGGGCGGGGAACTGGGCGACCTTAATGCATGAAACAAGCCAGGGGCAGTGCGGCAGCCCAACGACTTTCACAGAAGTCTATTAACTAGAGGGCCGAAAGGCACTGACACAACAGGTGGGCCGACTCCAGAAACCCCTTCACATCCCTTCACCTTCTCTCCAACATTACGCTAATCTACATTGCACGACACTCGACATCGACGTACAAGTCAATCTGGAATCCTTCTCATCAAACGCCAGTCCCCACACGTCACGGTTCCTCCTCGCGCCCCGCTAAGTCACGAGTGGCACCCCGTGGTTCACGCTCAGCGCGCTCTTTATCCGGTTCAGCGTCGCCCACACGAGCGTGCTGACGGTATCGATACTGTCCTTCGTCAGCTGCGAGTCCTCGCTCGTGCTGACCAGGATCTGGAACGAGATCGTGGTGAGGGATCCCTTCGTCTCCTTCTCCCCGCCCACCCCCGCAAGGAGCGCGCTGTCGAGCCCGAGCGCGTGTTCTAGCGCGGGGTTGCCGTCCGGAAAGATGGAGAAGCCGGACGGGAGGAGCGCCACGTTGTCGGGGTCGCCGCCCGCGATGACGAGTTGCACCGCGGGGGTGTCGACGGGGGCGTAGACGAGCATGCAGCCGAAGGGGTCGCAGACGGACTCCTGGAGAATGAGCATGTTGTTCTGGCCGCTCACGGGGGGCTGCAGAAGGCACCGAAAAGAGGAGGGGTCAATCAGGCGCCGTGGTTGATAAAATTGGATAAGTGGATAAGAACAGTGTTAGATGGAGGATGAGCATGTTGTTTTGCTTGCTCCCGGGTGGCTGCAAAACCACCGGAAAAAGAGGGGGTTTGTTGGCGCTCTTGCGAACGAGGTCAGAAGCAGTCAATGTCACCGTAATCTGACGCCCCAAGCATCAAGGGGTGGGGAAAAACTGATGCTCCAGTACACGGAGCCATAAGCGGCTGGTGTGATTTCAGAACACAAGCATGTCGTGGTCTGAGCGCTCCAGAGGGCTGCAGAACGGACCCGAAAGGGGGTGAATTACTAGTCCCAGTCGAAGCGGCCAACGTTAGGGGAATTGTACCACACAGTCGGCGTCTACTTTTGGGATGCGCACGCTGCTAGAGGCGGGAACACCAGGTTCAGGGGTTTGGAACGATCAACTAAGACGATGTAAAATGAGCAACGCTACCGCTTGGGCGGCCTGTCTCAGAATCTGCGGGCTCCTGACAACGCTCTTTCGTACCCTGAAACCTTGCCCGATACTTGCTTCGGTTCGGAGCCTGAGCCTTGTACGGCACGCTCAAGCTCCTGATGATCCGCAGTGACCGTCCGACTGAACCAAAGGCACCCAAAACGCAGAAGCAGCAAGCACGAGAGCGCTCACCTCGGCTTTGAAGAGGGAGAGGGCATTGCCCGGGGTTTGCCCCTTGCTCAGTTGCGCGACTTGCTCCACCAGGCCGCCGTTCGACAGAATGTCCCACTGCAACGGAATAATGATGCCATCCAATGAGTCTGAGAGCACGCCTCAGTATTTCAGCGGCTTCCAAGGACTCACGACGGGGAGTCACTTTACAAAGAAGCCCTCAACGGCGCTTTGAAAGGAGAAAGACGACGTGAAGGGTCGTTTCGAAGAAAGTGCCAGCCCCGGGCAGGTCCCACCTGCTGGATTTGCCGCTGGCCGGCCAAAACGTCAACGTTCAGTGAGCTATTCGGATGTCAAAAGCCCATCAGAATTCACAAAGCGTGGTTCAGACACGGCAGACGGGAAACAGATCCAGAGACAAGGACGGCCAAGTAGAGCGAGTCCCGAAGGAAGGACCGCATTCCCAAGCGGACTCTCTCGAACCTTAGAGGCAAGCACCCACCTGCTGCCGCAGCCGCTGATTGGTCAGAAAGGTGAACACCTGCTGCGGAGATGAGTCCAGGTAGAAGGAGCTGCTCGCGCTGAGGATGATCCCGGTGGGCTCCCCCGGGTTGTTGGTGTTCTTGCGCGCCTGAATGCGCAGAGTGGCGGAGCCCTCGGGGCCCGAGTAGCTGATCGGGGTCCAACTAGGGTGGGGCGCGCCGCTCGCGCCGATGCAGAAGTTGGTCACCATGCGCTTGGCCAGCTTGAACAGCGTCCTGGAAAACAGGGGGAGAAGTTTCGGAACAGTTTGGACTCTTTTATGCGATCGACGTTTTCAAAGCGACGGACCAGTTTGTTTTCTCGTGTCCGACAGACATTTTCGAAACGAACGGGCAATTGCATTCTATTAGAGAGCCAGATTGTCCGGAGCCCCAGTCCGAGAGAAGGCACAGGCCACGTGACCAGAAGCACCACTGCCCGGCAATGCATCAAGGGGCTCGCGGCTCGTAGCTCCAATCCATTCCGTCAAGTTTCTCAATCCATACCTCTCTTTCACTACCAGAGTGGTAATATGGAAGAATTAGACGGACACACATTCCCTTACGAATTTAGGTCCTCTGTCAAACGAACGATGCCGCCATCATGCTTTGCTCCAAACCCTGCTCAAACCCTGCTCATGACCTTGCCTCAAATCCAAACCCCGGCTCCATTTACAAGCCTTGGTTGGTGACGAGCAGAGAAGACGTCCAGCTCAAAAGTATTTCTTTCGGGCTCCAGTTCTAAAGCCCACTTCATTGACACAACTGAAATGACGTCCCGTTTCGTACATCCGCCCAGATCGGGCATATTCTACGAGGGGTCCAATCTCGACCCAATTTTCTGACAAAAGACAACGGCGATCCCGCTCGTATCCCGCCCACAACGAAACCTCTTTACCTGGGTCTCTCGAAGCCCGTTTAGCGACAAAGCAAAACTGACGTCCTGGCGCGTACCTCCGCCCGGCGATCGTCATGACGGGGCTGTCGTGCGTGCCCGATTCAGGTTCCTATGTCGAGGCTTCGCTGAAAAAGCGAATGCCGGAAGTCTAATGCTCAAAATGCAACCTCGAAGCCCATATTACATAAAAAAAATGAAAACGACGTCCCAGCGCGTACCTCCGCCCATCGATCGTCATGACGGGGCTTTCATGCGTGCCCAACTCGGGTTTCAACGTCGAGACTTGGCTGTTCAACAAAACAGAGAAGGTATCCTCCTCGACATTCAACTTCTAAGCCCATCTTAGGACGAAACCAAACAACGTCCCCGCGTGTACCTCCGCCCGTCGATCGTCATGACGGGGCTGTCCTGCGTGCCCGCCTGCGTGGTGGCCGCGAGGCGCGTCGCCTGGTGCTGGATCACCGCGAGCCACCGCGTCGCGCCGAAGAGCGCCCCCGACTGCGCCATCGTCTCGTACTCCTTGGGCAGCGCGTGCTGCTCCACCACCGAGTGTTCGACGACGGTAACGGTCGAGCAACCGTTACCGGCGTCCTTGATGACCAGGCCGGAGGGCCGCCGCCGGCAGCGGATCTGGGGCGGAAAGGAGTGGGGATTAGGTTGTGCATCGAGGGGCAGCGTGGCGGGCCAAAGTAAGGAGGAAGCAGACGAAGAAAGCGTTTGCTGAGAAAAAGATCCTTCTCGGTGGAAAATGACGCAGCGGAGGCACATTCCGGAGGAAAATCGGTGGAAGAATTCTGGGGTTATACGATCCATCGAACAGACCAACGAACAGAAGCAAACCTTTGCGAACGGACCGACAGTCGGCACACGTTGTCCGTTGTCGCAAAAGATCACTCTGACCGAACCCCGCTCTTGCTTCGAACACTCTCTGTTTCAGGCCGTCAGGTAAAGCTTTCCAACGACCCCGGTGAACCGTCGTTCGAGAGTTTGGACGCACTCGACACTTGATGCTCTTTTTGGTTTTCCGTAGATTGGCGTAGATTTTCGAACGTCCTGAACGTTTCCGTACGTTTTCGTGTCTCTTTTCAACTGCAGTATCGGACCGACGTAAACGCCCCCACGTCTTCTTTCAAAAGCAGTGATTAAGAACGAGTGTGACCCCTCGACGTCTATTTGTCATGCGTGGAGTTCTCTGGTCGGTGTTCGCACAGCATCAGAGCCCAATCGACACGTCATCAGTCCCTTCCTTGCAACTCTCCTAGCCCAGTGTGAACACACTCACGTCGCCCTTCCTCGCGAAGTCCCGCAGCCCATCCACGCTCGAATCGACGGCGACCCACATCCCCTCGGCGATCTTGCAGCAGTAGCGCAGGAAGTTGACGCCGCGTGTGGGAACTAGAGGCGAGAGGGCGTGCGTCTCGGCGAACATGAGCTGCAGCGCGCGGTCGCGGCTGCCGTCGGGGCCGCCCGTGGAGAGGACGTCGAAGAGGCCGGCCTTCGACACGATTGTAGGGTATTGATCCATCCATTGATCCTGTACGACATGCCAGAAAGACTTTCAAGAATGAGGTTTGAAAGTAGCGAGAGTTTCACAACTTTGGAATGTAGATCATCTCGGGTACTGAGCACGTCGAAAGGCCGGCGACAAAAACGCATCGTCGGGTAGTGGTGCATCCATTAGTCCTGCACTGCTTCAATCGACCGCCTCCAGGGTGAGATTCAGTAACCAACAAAACTAACGGCACTTTTGGAACGTTCAAGAACTGGTGTTATGCGAAGTCCTAAGATTGAGCTCGTCCAACAAACCGGCTTTATTACGAAGTTCTGCAAGCCCTTGGTACTCCAAACCCTCCCTGTGCCTTTTTGACTGCTCAGCCAGTCGGTTGGCCAGGGAGTCTCACGACTAATCCGCTTTTGAAAACGCAAAAACAGAACCCCTCCCCCTCACCACGTTCATGAAGCTCTCCAGGATCGCGACCCGTCTTGAAACAATGGGTTGGCCCCGGAACCTTAAGACCGAAAACGATTTCAGAAACCTAAGCAGATCATACCCCTCCCCTCACCACGTCATGAAGCTTTCCAGGATCGCGACCCGTCTTTGGAACCTTGAGACCAAAACGATATCAGAAGCCCAAGCAAGCCAAGCCCTCTCCCTCGCTACGTTTATGTTGCTCGATAGGATTGTGACCCGTCCCAAAAACTTGGGTTAGCCCCGGATCTCGAGACTAAAACAGATTCTAGCAAAACAAGCCCCCCCCTCACCACGTTCATGAAGCTCTCCAGGATCGAGGCCGCGCCCGACATGACGACGCCCTCTGCGCGTGTCGCCTCCACGTTGCTCCCCACGGGGCCCCCCGTCGCGCTCGCCGGGTGCCGCTTCGCGTACTCGTCCTGGTTCAGCACGTCGCGCCCGCCCGGCGTCTGCTCCCACAGGGGGGATCCCCCCAGCGCCACACTCTTGAGCTCCTCATACGCGGCGACCGCGAGGTCACATACTAGTTGCCGCTCCACGGGGGTGAGGTTTAGGGTTGGGACGGACGCGGAGGGGGCGACGGAGAGGTTAAGGGAGGGTTCGGCGTTTGGGTTAAGGCCGAGACCGAGGGAGAGGCTGGTGCCGAGGGAGCCGGCGGGGGGCGGGGGCTGCCCGAGGGAGCGAGTTACGAGCTGGGTTAAGTGCTCGACCTGCAGGGGAAGGGGGTGGAACAAGTTGAATTAAATTTGTATTTGAACGGTCCTGGATTTTGCACGTCGAGGGATTTAACTTCTGGGGACAGGAAGGGTCGAGCCCAGGTCAGCGACACGATCTAGCCGTTCAAGCTTAGCGCCTCCGTGCTTGGAAGTTCAGGGGCTGAGGCGGAGTCTAAGAATGACATGATGAAAGACTTTCAATCACCGAAGGTTTCTACAATTTGAGGGTTGAATGCTCCTTCTTTCTCGGCCTCGTGGACCACTTCTGGCGGCTCCCAACGGATCGCAGGTCTCCAAGCAGAACAAGGAAAGGACAGGCGACCTGGTTCTAGCCAAAGCGGTCAAGGGAAAGGTTTTCTCCAACGTTGCCCCTCTCCTTTCTACTTCCCGTCCCTGAGTCCATTTCCCATATTAGAAAAGTAGTTTGCCCCTCCGAAAACGCTTCAAAAACCCCGAAATTCTGCTCTGCTTTGAGGCGCTCCTGCTTGAGCTGCCGCAAGCTCGTGGGGTTGGTCCCACAGCAATCTCACTCCTTGTTCTCAAAACATTAAACCCCCACAAGAACCGCACATTCGCTCCCCTCTCGAGGCGGCTCCGAGGGGCTTGATCTCGAGGCTGCCGCTAGCGCTCAGCATCGGTCCCCCCTCAAATCCGTTATCTCCCTCTCCCCTCTTCCTCGATTTCAAGCTATCAACAGCCCTCCTTGGCACTTCGTCTCGAGCTACAGCCAGCTCTCAGCATCGGTCCTCCCCCGAAAGACACTCGCGCCCTCCCCCCATCCAGATGCAACCTATAAGAAGCCCCCCTCAACTCGGCCTTGTTTTCATGAAGCAGCTGGCGCTCAGCATCGGTTCCCACAAAAACCGATCTCTTCCCTCCCCCCCAAGGAAGCGACCTTGAATGCATCCCCCATCACCTCGGCCTTGAGGCGCTTGTCTTCGCGCTGCAACCGGCGCTTAGAGTCAGTGGCCGCTCCGAAGAAAGTCTCCCTCTCCACCACCCCCCCCATATCCTACAAAAACGGCGAATCCCAGTACTCATATGATAGCAGAGCGCAAAAACGGGAAGTATTAGCAACCTCCAATCCTCCCCCCTCACCTCGGCCTTGAGGCGCTTGTTCTCAAGCTGCAGCTGGCGCTCGGCGTCGGTCCCCCCCTTGACGGCCTGCAGTGCGTGCACCTGCGCGACCCGCAGCGACTCGCGCAGGTACAGGTTCTCCTTGATCAGCCGGTCCTTCTCGGCGCGGAGCACCTGGTTCTCGTTGCGCTCGCTCTGCGACTTGACCTGCGTCCGCCGGTTCTGGAACCAAAACTGCACATAGCGGGGGGAGACTTTCAACTTCAACACCGATGTACGCCTCTAGACTACAGACCTGCGTGCATTGTTTCTGGAACCAAAGCCGTACATAGCAAGGGGAGAGTCTTGAGAAGCTAAAGACAGGGTGAGATTCGAGCAGAGGCCTTCGACGTGGATGTTGTGCGACTTGCTCGAGACCTCGTGCGCCGATCCCGAAACCAAACTGTACAAAGCAGGGGCAACTTTCAAGTTCGTCGTAAACGCGGTGACTGAATTCTCTTAGAACCTCGGGGAAGTTTTGTGCATCTTGACATGGTTTTTCCAAGTTTTCAGTGTATCGTTTGATCCTCAAGCGATGAACTAGGAGCCCCGTGTATTCAAAATGGCTTGTCCGTGGCTTCTTGAATGACAAACGATGACCCTTGGATTGGGCGCCACATTAAGAGACTTGGTAACCGGTGCCTTACCTTAATTTGGCGGGGCTCCAGACTCAACCGCTGGCTGAGCGAGGCTCGCTCCTCCTCGTTGGGGTGCGGATTCTCCCGGAAAGCCCTGAGAAGAGTAATCACTTCTTCTCAGACATGAAGGTTCTTCCATTTGTCATCAATTCCAGCTTGTAGACTGGTCGTAAGAAAATCAAAGTGGTCAGCGGCGGAAGACCAAGCAGCCCAATGTGTTTAAGCTGCTTCTCAAGTGACTCTTAACTTCCGCTTTGGGAGAGGTTAACACCCCCTGGTGCTAATACCTGGACTCTTCCACCAAGAGGAGTTTCAATCAACCCAGCGTTCAAGTTACCTGAGGAATCAATGAATTCGAGCGTACGTGTTATCATTCCGCATCCAGAACAGGAGCGAACATGTCGACCTCTGATTGGTGGATGTTGTTACTTTGTGTCTGCAAGCTCGTGTGTCACATGATGCACCAAGCGCTCCAGTCTGTAAGCTCCACGATAGTGATCACTCCACAAAAGAAAACGTAGTTTCTGATTTGGCCAGACGACTTCAAACGTTGGTAACCCGGCTTGGTTTGTTCAACCCACGCCTCACCTCTCCAGCTCCTCGATCTGGTGCAATGAGTGCCGGTGGTAGCGCTTCCGCTTGCCATCATCTTCCTGCATCTTCCCCCCTGAATTGCCCTCGCTTGCCCCGGTGTCCCTGGCAGGGTCAGCGGAGGCCCCCCCTCCGGAGCTGCTCGCTTCCACCCCCCCTTCCTTGCGGTCGAGCGACAACCGCGCCTTCTTCCCATTGGGCTCCCCCCCACTACCGAAAAGTCCCTGATGTTAAAAACGAGGAGTGAGATGTGTACTTTACAGGGCACTAGACGAGCCCCACGGACAGTCTGTGTTAACCTTCAGGAAGGGGCGGGGATTGAAGCAGAAGGACGATCTCTAATAGTAAGGATGGTAAGAGGTGACCCAGTGATGTGCACTCTGCCTGTGGAAGGGGGTGGGGAAACAGTCTGAATGCATTTGTTCAGTCACTACTTAATCACAGACCAAGTATTGTTGAGAACGACTTTATTGAGGTGAAAATCTGCTTACATCGCGACCTTGCATTGTCCAAATATTAAACATTACCTGTCAAACACAGATGGTAACCTGGCCTGCACGCGCAAAAAGAGGACTAAGGAACTAACGCTCGCTAGACAGAGAAGCCCCTGACCCACCGCGGCACTTGTAGGTGACAATCTGTGTTCTGAGCTCCCACTCTTGAAAGACACAACGTGTGAGAAGTGGATCCGTTCTACTTTTGGTAGCTTAGCTTTGTCCTAGTGAAAAGACAGGTTGAGAAGTCCCCTCGCAGTTTTGCAGGTAATGTATCCTCCTTTAGAGGCAAATATTTACCATGTGGAGTCTCACGATGAACAGCTGCTGAGATCAAAGCTGTTACATAACATAAGGTAATCTAACAAAAGGCTCTTTTGCTTGGTTCGGACTACCTGGCTTGATCAATTCATATGCTCCGGCTGTGTTTGCATATTGCAAAAAAAACTAGAAAGCCCACCAATCAGTTTCATTGGTGGGTCTTTTCATAAGGGCTTTATCTAAAAAAGGGCTTTAACAAATACCGCATTCTTAGAGGGAGGAAAAGTGCATGCTGGAAACGAGGAAAGTTGAGTGAAAAGCCAAGCAATGGCTGATAAAAAACGTGAGCATCCGGTAGAGTTCTTCACAAGTTGCCCGTGACAATCGTTTAGATTACCCAGCTATTACCCAGCAACACCTGTCAAACGTCTGAGCATGCTGTGATGGAGTTAATGACAAGTGTCTGTTTCGGCCAGAAAACGTTGCAACACAATCTGAGGCTGCTGATCCAGCAACCATTAGATTCACAACCAATCAAACAGCACAAATTTCTGGGACTCTGCCACTTCTAGATCTTTGAAAGCTTGGCCCCAATCCTCGCTTGGAGCTCAGAAGATCAGTGCCCCAACTAACAGACTGCCTAGCTCACTTTATAATGGGTGCAAATTTTGACAAGGAGTTCTCCCTTGATGCATCTGCATTTGGCGCATAATGCAATTCTGTGTGGTGCAACAGAAACCTATTTTGTGATGTAGCACCAAGGAAACAGCCGCGAAAAATGCTTTGATTAGGAACGGAAATTAAACGACCTACCTCATTCACTTTCTCCATCCCCGCTAGGTTGGAGACCCCTGCCACTGTCGCTGGCGGTTCAGAAATCATCTCATAAACCAGTCAGTGTATCGAGCAACCATTCATCACCGACGTATTCCGGCAGGAGACATGGTTATTGATCCTTTTCTTTCCTCGGCTAAGTGTTCAATAATCGACCCATTGGATTTTCTCAGCTTGAGTGTACACAGTCCCCACGACGGCCGTCGCGCCTCCCAAAATGCAACCCCAATTCTTGACTAAATTAGGTGTAAATTAGCTGGCACACAGTTCAGCCAGCTCGGCAAGCAAGGAGATGATACGTAGAAGAAGCCCCAGAGTCGATGCTCCACAGAAGGGTTAAGCAAGGAGGAGCTCCTTCTCTTTCCACCTTGGAAGTAGGCGAGATCCTGGCAATTTAATACTGGGCGCCAGCTCCTTCTCCCTCGTAAATGCTCCTCATAAATGGAAGAGGGCGAGCTTTCAATTACCTCCGCGCGACAGTAACTTTCGTCACGGCCGCATCTTCTTCCTCCTCTATCGAATCATTAAAGCGTAACGTACAGAGCACCCTCTATCCACTGTTACATCAATTTCTTTTGACAACAAAGGGCGTTCGGAACCGCGTGCGTGTGAATATCACAAACAATGTGCACACAAAGAATGAGTGGCGGCCACAGGATCGCCCGATTTTGCAAAACGATAGAGCCGTAGGATACGATCGGACGGCCAATAACAGAGCCGACAAGATCAGAACGGAGTTTAAATTTCTTTCAGGGGGTCACATTCAGGAGTCTCACAAGCCCCCGAAAGGAAGCCGTCTCGCCCGCAATTTTCCGACAAGAATATGTACCGGCCGGTACCGTCCTCACGGGATCCTGACAGGCTGACGTGAACACGGTACCTAAGAAGGTACCGTACCAGGTACCTGTATCATAGGTACCTAGTTTCGTAGTAACCGTAGTTCCGGAAAACCCTGAAACCCTGGCTGGGGATTGCCGCGGGCCGGCCGCGGCGCGCGGCGCGCGACAGCTTAATGATGCACATATGTACTTGCACTGCATGCATGGTGCACAGTGACAAAAGCACTGTATGCAGTGTGCATGGTAGGTAGTCTTACTTCTGATGTCAACATTCTCGGCCAATTCACAGCAAAAGCACGCCTGGCTAAATCTCTTTGATTTCGTGCTGCAAAGTGGCAGCACGACAAGATTGTTGGTTTGTACTATAGGTGGCTTTGCATTCAGGGAAGCTCCGTCAGAATCCACCATGGCTTCCTTTACGCCGCGCCTGCGACAGCTTTTCAGCTCCCTACACAGCCAATTGGCTTTGCCAGCTGGCGCACCGGCGAGCCAGACGGTTTTATCCCAGGAGGGAGGAAAGTGGTCTCAATATGCTCAGCTGATCCGCGCAGCAAGCGGCGTCTCTGCGAACCGGGGAGTTGTTGTTGACCAATCAGAGGTGAGGAGCAAGTGGTGATATTGTACGTTTGAGCTGGTTTTGTGAATAGACAAATAGCAGCCTCGCATGCACTTGCATGCAGTACGTTAAGCACTGGAAATGCTTACGCAAGCTGAAAGAATCTAGGACTGAATTACAAACTTGCGTACGGCAAGTATTGATGTGATATTTAGGATAGTGTCTGCTTCAGCCCTTTCTTGTTTGGGCGGTTGGGATTGTCACAAGAAACCTGTCCAGAAAGAGTTTGGAAACTCGTATCTGCACCTTTATTAGGACCACTTTCCTTGACTAGTGAAAAGGTCTGCTACAGCTTGGTACTTGGAATTTAGAATCTGCGCACATCATCAGGGGACCTCGGTAATATCTCAACTCAAAGTTTTATTGCAGGTTCAGCCACATATCAGTGAAATCAGCATTTGATCATGTTGAAGTCATAAGCTACAAGTACAAAGTTACAGCACCCATAATAGGCCTCCATAAAATACAGTGTTGCTCCCTTTATGAGAAACTCGTAAGATCCATGCTTTCTGCTGCTCCAACAAAGCCTGCTCTCATCTATGATCACATTATCCTCAAAGTTGACACAGATGAAGACAGTTTCACAGAATCAAATATGTGCGTCATCCCGTGGTACGATCTTCTGCCCATCTTCTTTAGAGATCACAGACGTAGTCATCAATTTCAAAGAAAAAAATCCCGTCCGGGCTTTGTTGAGCTTTGGGACTCTAATTCTAAAATACTGATAGATGAGAAGGTTTGTGACTTTCGGACGGCTACGTTTGAGGAAGTTTTGTTTGAGCCTACATCCAGCACCAGCCCGCTTTTGTAAGATTGCGCTTTGTCCAGCCTTTCAACACATAAGCGACAAAACAAACCTCGCGTCTTAGAGATCAAGCTTTGGGTGTGCATTTCTCGGAATGCATCAGGTTTTTTTCTATTGTCAAAGCTGTTTGAAGTGGTACATGATGCCGACTCACATTCATGAACCTTTTGATCTCCTCATGCTGTCAACTGTTGTGATCTAAGTATGTTGGACAAGGTGCCCAACATTCATAGGTACTGTAGTCCCTCAGAAGCAACTTCGGGTATCGTCCTGGTTATTCATTTTGTCACTATTTGCATCACACAACGGACACTTCCATGCGGAGCTTATTAGACACTCTCCAAATCTATCCGTCCACAAAATCATCTCAACAATTGCCGTTGCCAACCTCCACAATTCCATTTTTCCGAAGCTTTTCAACCTCCTGCAACAGGAAGTTAAGTCGCACGCACAGCATGTGTCAGAGCTTGGGCTGTCCCGAGCGCAGGAGAACGAGAAAGAGAACATGGCCAGCCAGGCAGAGAAACAGGAGAAGGCCAACTGGATGCCCCGCGAGCCTGGCCTTGGGGACAAGACACGAGCCGAGACGCTCCCACAGGTGAGGAGCCATTGGAAAGAAACTTATATTGGGTGATGAGAAATGCTTGTCTTCCAAGGTCCTGATGCCCACCAATCGTGGCAAGTGACGAAAATTGCCATCGGACAAATATTGGCATTGCTCTTTGTTTGACGCCGATTATACTGGCGGAGACGAAATACCTGTTGCGTTGTCTATCCCGAAGTTCTTGGATCTTTCGTCGGCATCAATTAATACTGGCGGAGTCAAGGTACCTGTATCGTTGTTTATCCTGAGGTTCTTGGATCTTCCATCGTCATACCCGTTTGTCGGCAAAGCGTTTCTGTTACTTTCCAGATTAGAAAAAACAACGCAATCTGCAGCGATTGTCATGAGAAAATTGTCCGTCGCTGATTTTTGGCCACGTCCTCGGGCTTGACGATCAAGCTTTGACGGCAAAGATTTCATCTCGTAGCGTCCATTCTCTTTGTCTTCCACTGATTAACTAACCTTCTCTACCCTTAACTAACCCTCTCCGTCCCCCGACAGGACAACCTCCGCCCCGAGGCCCTCGGCACGACTATCCCGGAGATCACCTCCCGCCCAGGGATGTTCGACCCGGGCAGTCTGGACCTGCGTGCAATCAAGGAGCTCAAGGCTGCTGACGTGGCACGGCAACAGGACGGCGGCGAGTGGGTGCAGCAGCCTCCCCAAGGGGACGGCGGTGCTCCGGAACGGCCGGGCCGGGAGCTGAACGAGGAGCAGCTCCACGAAAGGTGAGGATATTGTTAGGAGTTTTGGCACGGGTTAGGGCCCGGTTGAGGTGTGGGATTGGCTGTGCGTTGCGTTTGAGTTTGGGAGCCGGTTTGAGTTCGGGAGCCGGTTTGCGTGCGGCTTTGGGACCTGATTTGGGTGGCGGGTTGGGGCCCGATGCGGGTGGGACACACAGTGTGGTTTGACTGCGGGGTTTGTTGTGGATGTCGAGATTGCCCGTGATATGGACCAGAGGAAGCTACCGGATGGATGCAAGCCGTTTTATCCTGAAACGCATGTGCCTTAAAGGCCGTCGAGAATTGGCTTGTGCTGAGTCCTCTCAGGGAATCGTGCTCGTCAGCTTCGTCCCACATTTGCTTAGAACGCTTGAGTGTTAGAGAAACCTGCAAGTAGTGGTGGACATTCGAAGGCCGAGGCCGTCACTTGAGAGAGGTTGCCGTTTCCTTGTTCACTAATGGTTTGCGGCTGCTCTTACCCGTCGTATTAGGGTGGCAGTCGACAAGGGTCTCTCCAGATCTGCTTGCTTGCACTCTTCGACGCAATCCTTTTCTTTGTGCTGTGATTCTTTCCCGTCTGAGCACCGACTTTCAAGGAATCGAGAATCGATCGACTAGACAATTCATTTGGCCTACTCATGTTCGTCAGGCTTTGTAGAAAGCATTTTGAGCAGCTCCTCAACGAGTAAGAAAACCGTCAATCAACATCCGTATGTGAAGCCTATCCTTCAATGTTACCTTCAGCAACTTCGAAATTTTTTGAAGGCTTTCGAAATATCCCACTTTCTTATCCCCTGCCACTGACTTCGCGGCTTCGGCTCAGTCGCAAACGGCTTACCACTCATGACCCAATCTTTGCGGAGCCGAATTCGGACTTCGTCCATCCCGGATTGCAGCGTGCTTGACTTCTGCAAATACTAATTCTCAACCTCCATTTACGTTCACTTCGCAGCGTGGACAAGCTGGGCGAGCGGCGCGGCGGCGGCGAGGGCCTCGGGGAGCAGACCAAGTGGGGGGCGCCCATCGGGCAAAACGACCCCCGAGCGGGCGACCGGTTCAGCGGAGAGGGATCCCCCAACAAGGAGTTCCCGCCCATGCACGAGGACCCTGCGCTACGTGGCCACAGAGAGGCGTCGGGAATGGGGGAGGGCGAGCCGGAGCATGCGCCGACGCAGGTCGGGGGCCAAAGCCAGGATACGCCTTAAGGTTGACGATTACATGCCCAGGAAAAGGATTTGGCTTTGGTAAGAGGTACGGCAGTGAGGAGCGTATTCAGATCAGGCCGTAAAGAACGCTAATAACTTCTGGAAGAAAGGAGAGAGGGGACGTGCTCAGTCTGCAGCAAGAGGCGGAGTTGGGAATTTGCATTGGAGCTGGTATGTGATGCAAATCTGGTGGAGTACGTAGGGAAATGAAAACGCGCGCGGTTGGACCTATGTCTGTAACAACTTCAGAGTCTCGATCTGGCATGAATCATGCATGCCCAATCGTACTAGCATCTGCACTGCAGAGGTATCCCGCTGGTAATTTTGCGTCCTAAACCCAGCCTGTCACTAATTCAAACGGCGAGCTGCACACTCCGGAAATAGATTGGCTTTTGGACAACAATTCGAGCTCCGTTCAATATTCTTCGATCTTTGACATGCATGATACAAGCCACTTAAACACTAACTAGCCCATGTGCCCGCTCCATGGATTGTCGGATGCACGCATCATGCAGCCGTTCCCTTGCAAGACTTGTTTATATAGCGAGGCTCCTGGCACACATTGGTACAACTTACTAAAATTCTAGCTGGCGGTGTCTGCCCCATGGAACAATCGAGAGCCACCATGATAGACACACTACGTGGCTCATTGGGCAGCCCGCACGTGCGAACTAGTGACTGAGGGTTGCTGGTGATCGAAAGCTCTTCAAGAAGATCTTTGAATGAGCCTCATTCAAAGGCGAGTCCGCTATAGCATCGCTTATCCGACCGATCTCATGGATCGAGAGGCAAGAGCACATGGAGGATGGCATTTATTCGTCCGACTGCTTGCAACCGATATGTGTGTGCTATGTACAGTCGTGCAGCTACTCGGCCGATCGGCCGATCGGCCAATCTCAGTCATCTGTTTCTCAACACGCGGACCGGAAAGTACGTTTCAAAGCGCTTAGGTCACCTATCCAGGATGATTAATGACGATCAAATGCGGCCCTGGTTTGAACGCAAATTGTGACCGTGTATGTTGCTGCATGCATCCTCGAGCTTGACAGACTTTTACATGGATACTAATGGCTAATCGAGTTATAGCATTTGCTTAAAGTAGCTCTCAATTCTGTTGTTTGGAATGGTCAGTATTGGATTCTGTAGCATAAATACCGATTTCACTTTGCTTGACTGCGCCGATGTATTTAAGAACAAATTGTGACCTAGTTTCCTAACCTGTTTCGTGCGTCTCCCCTCGCTTGCCCGTTTTGGGCAGGGCCCTCGATGCGTCCGACCCTCTCTGGCGCCTGCCGAGTGAGGTCCGTCACTGCAAGAAAATAAAAAGTCACTCATCCAGTCCAGACAGCCAAGAACGACAAAAGAAAGTGTACAAGCACAACAACGATTCCGCCTTATCGATCTTTCAGAAGGTTGTTACCAAGTTCCCCTAGCGAATGCACGAGCTGACCGAAAAAGTGAATCCGAACGCACTTTCAGACCGAATTTGGACTAGGGACGTCTGTATCCAGATTGCTTCAGGGTCGGGGTCGGTTCTCTTTAGATTGCGACTCAGATGGAAAAAGGGCAGCATTGGCGGAAGTTTGCTACGAGCTCGTCCAGAGCTTCTGCTTGCAGCTGAACGGGTAACCCCTTATCTTATACGACAACAGCGGCCGGCCTCGTCTCAGTGCCACCGAAGAGCTTACAAGAACCTTGTCTGACGACAACGAGGAGCCTGACAAGAGCCAGGTCTCAAAAGCTTCATAATCCGGCATTTCGTCAACGCTGATGGATGTGACGACAATGTCTCGAACGTGTATTATCGCTGTAATCTTCAAAGGTGCCCGCCATCGGGGTATGACCAAAAAAGGCGAGTCGCTGGGATTTCTGCACCGTCGTCGAAAATATCCAGCCAACCAGCCGCACAACGCCTGCTCCCCATTGGGATGTAATCCTGGCCGCATCCGACCGTAACAAGCATTTGCACGGATTGATCATTACCTTGCCCGTCGTTTGTGCAAGCCTTCTGAAGCCGACCTTGTGAAAACAGAGGCACCGACTTGCAGCATCGGCAGTCGCTTCGACAACCAAACCAAGATTAAAACTAGTCGGAGTCAGAAACGCTCGTTGCAAGCTCGCCGCAACATAACGGGCCATCCTGACTCCGACGAAGCTGGTTAAGAGCGTTAGCGCTCACCTGTGACATGAGCCGTGGTTTCGACAACTGTCCTGACCCCGACCTGGTTAAGGGCGTAACCGCTGGCGGCCACGTTGCCGGCGACCTCCACATACTCCGCCGCCAGAGCACCGGCCTCGTGCCCATGTCTGCAACGATATGTACTCCTTTATCCAGTGAAATAAGCTCAGTATCAAGAAGGCTCGACCTCGAAAAAAAGTACGCGGAAGATTACGCAGGCACCTTGGCACCCACCCTAATCCCCTATATTAGCCTACCCGTCCCAGCACTGGGTTCTTGTTGTCCACTGTTGACTGCGTCGATCAGAATCAAGTGCCGTCTCTGTATGGCGAGGTGTCATCGGGCGAATGATTACGCTAACCAGAACGGGTTAGGCGCTGAAAATGGTGAATACTTACGAATTCCCTCCTCGTTAGGAGAACCGCATTTGCTTGGGGCGTCCGAGCAGTTGAGAGGAAAAACACATAAGGGCAAGGGAAACGTGGATAGCTGCTGAATTTCAGATGAAAGCCCAAAGCCCAGTGACGGAGATAGCAGAATTAGAAGAGGGTCCAAACAGAATCAAACGAGCATTCTTTCATCACCTGGACGAACCCATGTAAATGTAGAAAAACAAGTGCCCAAACTTCGTTTCCGCAACCCGATATGTGCATGAAAGTACGCTCACCTATGTCGCACATATCCCGTAGTGACCACACCCGCCTCCTGAAAAACGCGCTTGGTCCCAGTTTCGAGCGCAACATATACTTTTCCGAACGCTCCGAGCGACGCTGCTGCGACATCTTTCAGGCCCGACTTCGACTCCTTGACCCGCTTTCCGGTTTCGGTTGACCCCACCGCCCCTGAGACAGCGCCCGCGACACTCGTAGCGAAGGCCACGACCCCATCTGCGACGCCCTTGGAAACTGCGGGGGTGGTTGGTTTGTGATTAAGATACAGTCACTTCATGCCGGTTGGCAGATCAGTGTCCATTTCGCAAGTCTGCTGTTGAGGTGTACTGGAAATGCCCGTAGGTACTGCAAAGGTTGGAACTTGAGTGGGGCACTAGCGAACGCTTTTGACACTGCCAATATTTGCCGAGGATTGAAAGCGGGCGAAAAACTTGCCGAGAATTGTGGCCTTCCGCATTCTGGGCGATGTGCACCTTTACATGTCTCAACGCGTTGGTTTGAATCGCTGTTGAGTTTGGTCCCCCTAGACAGGCGCAGTCTGGTGAGATACACAAGGGATGCTCGGAAGCGATTCCCCTTTCTCCAAGTCACCTACAACTCTATGAGGAGGTCAATCTAATCGCTTTATGTTGGAATCAGGACAATATGTGATGTGCATAACTACAACTTGACATCCCAGGTCAAGAATTGATGCTCAAACTTTTCGAACCAGGCAAGAGCCAGATCGACAAGCCAAGACCATCTCACCTTTGGCCGCAACCCCCGTCACTTGCCGGATCCGCTGCGCTTTGAGCCGATCCTCCTCCGTTACCTCCGCGGGTTTCTCGGCGGGGGCCACCTTTTGGCTGACAAACTCCCCCCCAGCAGCGAGTCCCGAGCTGCACTTCTCAGCTCCATAGATAATCGCTTGCGCCAACACATCGGACCCTTTCTCAATCCCCTGGGCAACGTGTGGGGCCGCTCGCTCAACGTGAGGGCCAGCGACAGCTGCCAGGACGATAGCCTATGGGCAGAGGGCAAAACAGGCTCAAGATCTGCAAGATTAGAACTTCTAAGCAGTGGCTACTCTCTAACAGTAGGTGTGACTGGCATAAGGTGGTAAGACTTCAGCAGGAAGCGGAATGTCTTTCTGGAGTAGCGTTGCCTTGGGCGCACAAAAAAAATCCAAAAGTCACTAAAATATATTTGTCTCCGCTTCCGGCGCTGCAATGACAGCGAGCTTTGAAACATGACGGAAGGTTGCCAGGTTCCCGCATGCAACTCGCAGACTTGATAACCAACTCTGATCAGGGCAATGAAGACAGACCAGGACAAGGGGCCTAGATTGATTGCAGCGCAGAATGTGAGCAGCGGTGGTAAGGCAGTGGAGGGCTTTCTAGACAGGCCCCAGAACCTTTGAAGTTCCCGGCCACCCTTGCATCGACTCCCTAAATCTGGGACAGGCTTATGTGAATTGTTGTTGAGTGGAGGGCAGTTTCAAACACTTAGCTATCAAAGTGGTTTGTTTGAAACATGCCAGTGCATGCAAAGTTCTAAAGCAGATCCTGGTTTACTCACCTGCTTCTGAAGCTCTTTCACGTAGGGGCTTGCAGCAGCCGACAACGTCTCAAAGCTCAGCTGCCCGGTGGGGCCTATTCGCACCACCTGCCCCTCCCCCACCTCCCCAGTGCGAACGCCCCCCGATGGCGACCCCGGCGGCCTCCCAGCGCCTACATTTTCCAAGCCTGCATGCTCAGCCAGCAACTCTTCTAAATGCTTAATCTCCTTGACACCAATTCCCTCCGGCAGGCTCAGCCCTAACCAGTTTTCGTTGTCAGCGAAAGCATAGTGTCTGGGAGAGGTGTGCACACAAGATCCCGGGGTCTGCGAGAAGTAAACCCTGGTTGTGTGCACTTCTGCGCAGTAGAGGGCGGCGCCGTTCGGGGGTGCAGGGAAGGGGACGAAGCGGACGATGCTGAAGAGGCCGGAGGCGATGGGGGTGCGGTCCTTCCCGGAGATGCGGATGAGCTGGGCTTCTCCTGGGAGGGTGAAGACCACCTCAACCAAGTAGTCCTTCTGTGGCGCCATGCTCGAGAGATCCTGCGCCACAGCTGCCTCTTGTGGTCCCCTTGAACCCTAGAATATGAGGATCTACCACCAGTTCAACTGCTTGACTTCTGAACCTGAGCTGCGGCCACGAAGTGCGGGGGAGTGCGCTGGAGGGAGACTGAGCGGACGGAGTTGGTATACAAACCGTCTACCGAGCGGGGCTCCAGGACATACCCCGGGCGAGTCACGCCACTAATGAAGTGGCCCAGAATGACCGGTTTTCTTTTCCTACGATGAATCAGTTTCAACTAACCCAAATTCTTTGCATAACCCGTGTGTCGAACTTGCTAAAACGTGGCAACCCCTGCTCAAATACGCTGTCAATCATGGAACAGCAAGGAGAAATGTCGCAGCACCAAGTCAGCTCTTGTAGCTGCAGGATTTTCCATGCATGTCCCCTCAGCTCTGTTGGCTTCCTAAAGCAGCTTCAGATGCCGACAATTGCCAGTTGCAGGTCACGTCAGCATTGCATCCCTCCGTGGTGGCCAGGCTTCTCCTTAGAGCTACCTTGGCGCCACCTTCCTCGCTCAGCTCAGAAAATTTCCCTTCCTGCCAGTGAGACCCATCAAAACAAAGATGACCGGCCGGAAGAGTGTCCGGGCCCGGCCCAGCCTTTCTTGATAACACCTTCAAGGGGAATCTGGTTGCAAGATGGGCTCCAATGTCTAGAATATGCTACACACGCTGCTGTCTTTGTGTCCTGTCAGCTCTCTCTAGATCCGACCTGCTCTCTGTATATGACAGTACTGCCAGCTGGGGTGGCAGTACAGGGCTGGCGGCTGTACTGAAGTTGGAGTCCGCAGTTTGACCCCACCTTGTGATGATCTCAGCAGGACGTCATGGTGAGGTGAGATGAGCTGACAACATCGCAGTTTTGAAAGGGCTGGAAAGGATGATAGTGCTATATCTAAGCAACTGCTTTGGTGGTTTAGTGTAAAGGAACTACATTAGTCTGCCAACCTCTTGAGCGTAAGCTGTTGCCTGTGAGTCGTAGATGTTAAAATATTATAGATAGGCGTTGCTCCTAGCTGACTCGTAGCTGACTCCAGCGGTATTAGCCATCTTGTATTACTCATGTTACAAGTGCTCTGAGGAGATGAGGAGAAGTACTGAACGTCACCACCTCTATCTGTTGCGCCCACAATCTCGAGGCTCGCTCCTAGCGAGATGCATAGCGCTTGCCCCGCCGCGGTGCTTCGTCTGCCCTTACCATGCAGAACGGACGTTGTCTTCATCTTGCTGGTACTTCAAGCGATTCAGGAGACCTTATGAGAGTCAAAACTTGACCCAGATTTTCCTTCTGATTGAAGCCTCGAGTTAATCCAATCCGTCAGTAAGCTATCAAATGTACTCAACAGTTGCAGAAGTGGACACTGAGATCGAGAGCGGGGCTTGAGCTGTCTTGGATCCGGTCGGCCGTTCTCAATGTAACAAGATCTTGAAAACCTTTACACATTCGGTATGCAATTTTGAAGTTTTTGCTGGATGCTTGTCTTCGTTTGGAGTCCCCATCCTCATACTCCCCCGCTGCTTATCCAGAAGATTGGAGAACCATCTTTCAAAGCGCGACACAGAGACGCCGCAACCATGCAGCCGAGGGGCCCGACCCGCCGCTGTTCCCCGGCTGTTTCGGATTCGCGGCGGAGCTTATGTTGCCCACCAGAACGACTAAGGACAACTCCAAGATCGCGTTCAAGAGATTGTTAAGATGACAAGAACGGTGAGACAAACCGTTCACGAGCAATCTCATCCAATCTGTCCAAATCTTCAAGGTAAGCTGGATGCTAGTATGGTCCTCTTTCGTGTACTGTTTGGTTATAGAGTCTCGTGTACTGCTTGTTTGTAGCCTTTCGGAGATGACTCAGGAGGGACAAAATTTTCAGAGGAGTCCACTCAGGCAGCGGGAATTCCTCAGATGCGAACATGAAAAGCTGTGCACTTGTCTCCTTGAGCGAGCGTTTCTGAGCGTGAAGTCGCCTTTCATGAAGACTAAATCACACGGCTATCCAAAAGGTCGCCTTTTTCTGGTTCCTGCGAGTTTTCGAGCCGGTTCGTTTCATCAACCGTTGCTGGCTGCTCGAATCAACAGCCACCTACCGACGCGCTTTCGTCCCGTTGATTGCGTTCCCCCTTGTTTCAATCCTCGTGTCTTGCTTTGTATCAACGTGCGTAAGTTCGGCCACTAATTCAAGAACCTTAGCCTGACAGGATCACGACACGCCTTGAAAGTGTGGCTGCGTGCCTTCGAATTCTTGCGTGTGACATCGTTTTCATACCTCCTGCCTTTGCTTTCCGACCTCAGAATGTCACCCGCATTACAGCAATATCAGACCCATTTGCAGAAGGCCGTCACCAGCGGCGGCCGTGAGATTCCGCTTACTAAGTTTCTCGGTCAGGAGATGAGCCCCGCATTCCCCAGCTGATTAAAGGACACTGATAACGAGCATGCGCTAGTGCTGCCCAGTACGGGCATCCGTGCGCTTGCATCTGTCTGTCAATGTTATGCGGCCGTCGTCAGAATGTCCCTTCATCGGCGACGGTACAAACTTTCGAAAAAAACGTCAAAGCCAGCTGGCGCGCGAAAGGTCATCATCGAGTATACGCACCGAGCTTGCTGGTGCCTTTTTTGGAGCCAAGACTATTCCTAATTCCGGTTTGACGTAAGGCGGGGTCCAAAAGCGCCGCTAAGGCTCTTGGCACTACTAGTACTAGTCCGAGTCTGGTGAGCGAATTTGGTATGTTGCCATTGCCAACGTCTTTTACCCCGGCGGAAACGTCAAAGCGAGGTCCTTCAAAACTCATAGGGCGGTAGAGGTCTTCAAACGTATCGACAGGGTTCAGTAGATTCGTTTGTCCTGAGCTTGTCAAAAGTCAGACGTTTCCATGCAGCGCCCATGCTTTGTCTCCTCAAGAAAAAGCTTTTTACCTTCTAAGATAAGCGGTTGACTACAGTCGCTGACGTCAACTGGCAGTCCAATGGATAACCGGCATCTCATGGAGGTCGAGCCAAGAGAGAGGTCGGAGCCTTCAAGAGCGACTGATCGAAAAGTACGGCACTCGGGACGACAATTAGTAACAAGGTGACGAGAACTTGTGACGTGGCAGTCCCGTCGCAGACTTCATCGTTTCGTTAAACGGAGACCTTTTACTCCTTTCCGCTCGGCTTTGTCTGACTTGCGAGCAGTGCCAGAATGCAAACAAGTAGATAACCGATGATTGAAGGCCGGGAGAGAATCTTTAGGCCGAATTGTCGAACATATGCTCTGCTCGTTCCTGATTGCTGCAAAGGCGCGTAGCGTCCTTCTCGAAAAAAAGTAGGTCAGTGAGTCAACTTCGACCGACGAGTGGCAAGAGCAGTCGAACTGTGATCTGCGTCAGTGCGTCAAATTGAGCGCCCTTCGAGTCACGAACAAGCCGCAATCAAGTCTGAGTTTCGCTTCTTTGGTTGGCACTGGCCCAGACGCTCATGCGCGTGCCCACGCCTTCAAGGAGTCAACAAATCTGGTGCGCATCTCGGTGCCTGGATACCGGGTGAGCTCATGATTCTTCGCCATAGTCAAATTCTTGCCTTCAAGCCACCGTTGATATGAATGCCTTGAGGAGCTTCGTTTTCTGGAGGCATCCAATTTGGAGTTGCACTGATCGATGTGGCGGACTCGTATATATCTGGAGCTTTATAGAACAACCGGCACAGTGGGCTTCTTTGAAGCAGGTACTTTTTGAAGGAAACAACGGTCTCTGCCTTCGTCGATCGTCCTCGTCGAATTCGAAGGTTAAACGGAATATGGAGGTACGAGTCACGACCCCCACCGAGGAGCCAATGGGGCGCGAGGGGTCTTGTCCGTGATTGCGGACCCGTTAATTGAATAGAAAGAGAGAAAGGCGGCCCGCGCGCGGAGCCTATATATATATTGGTGCGCAACGGATCACATTCTGGCCGACCGATCCACCTGGCAGACCTCAAAGTCCCACTTAGGAGATTAGGAGGGCTGGGAGTGACGAGACGAAGTCCATACGTAATGCGCATATGGTATATGCTCAGCCCTGAATGAGCCTTCGTCAATGAATCAAACTTCGACTAGCTATGATCGACCGAGTCTTCTGCGGCGTGCCACCGTACTTACTACTGACCAGTCGTCCCCGATCCTCTCATAGCTTATGGTGGTGCCGTACTACGCCCGTACACTCGATCCTCGAAAATTCTGCCCGTAGTACTTGGTCGGTTTCGCGGCGACTGTGCCCGTACCAACTTTCTCGAGTTCCGCACTCGTACGACAGCAGCGCGCTGCGCCGCATATGGCACGCGTGATCCTTTCGCCAAGTCTCTGACACACGTTGACTTTAGACTTTAGTCTTCTACCGGTAGAGTTCTTCTGAATCTCTAATCTCAGTCATCCGAGCCTCGAGGCCCGCTCGACTTCGCTTTGTGACTCATTTGTCCCTTTTGCATACCGATTCACACCGGATCGGAGTCTCGACGTGCCTGCCGAATATCGTCCTTTCGGGTCACTGTCAGGATAGGACCTACCGGTATTAATTCTTCAGGTTTAGCCACAACCTCGCACTAGGCATTGAACGGCTATAGGACCTACCGGTAGGTACTGTACGTCCTTGTTCGTAGCCACAGATTCACAACTGCAACCGGGGTGCAAAGAACTGGTGCAAACCAGCGTCGCATCATGGTAGGTACCTGAATTCGGTCAGGCGGCTGAGTCAGGCCCACATGTGGCTACGGCGTTTGAGAAGAGTACATTCGGCGCCAGTCTTGAAGGCACGTACATATGCAAGATCACATGGAAACGTGGTAGGACAAGATTCCTCAGTGCACTTGCTTGCACGTGCCGCAAACGGAGCCATTTAATTCGATTAAGACATTTTCTCTGACACCCCTAGGCTTTTGCAGCAGTGTCAGTCAGGAAACCTACCTATCCTGTGAAGTGATACTACTGTTGTGATAATACTGATGAGCGGGCTTAATCAGGTTCGGAACTGCATTGTGCATCGTTCCCAGCAGCTGCATTATCTTCACACAGAGCTCTTCAAGACGACTTGAACAGATCGAATTCGCGACTACAAAAGGGGCCTTCCCTTCAAGTACTCTAGCAGAACGCAAATTCCTTTTACAGGACCACAGAGCTCTCTCGTCTTTCGCATCCGCTGCCAGGCGCAGGTTGCAGCCAAGCCCCCCCACAACACTTCTACGACCAATTCCAGACTCCACTGACAAAATGAAGGGCGCTTCGCTCCTTGCGGTTGGCGCCGTGGTCATCCTGGCCAGCTTCTTGTCTGCTGCCAACGCAGGTGAGCGATGCTGATCGCAGTACTGTGAGAAAGCATTTCCAACAGGTGTCCAAAACCTGTCCAAACCTTGTTGGGGTCCGAACAGGGCTTTGAATAACGTTGAACAGGTCTGGACACAGATATTAGGGCAGACACACAGCCAGACTGCCCAGAGTCTGGACTTCATTTGAACACGTTATTAAACGAGCATTGGACGAGTTTGAGAGATACTTGGGCTCATCGCAGGCGAAGCTCCACATCTCATGAGCATGACCTCTTCATTCAGATTCTGAGGCCCTGTCCCTTGTGATCATGAAAAGCCTTTTCCGGCTTTGAAAGCAAATGTGCCCAGAAGCCCACGAGAATCCTTGCCGCAGCTTTTGTTGTGTGCGTGTGCATGTTCTGATATGCCTTTTTGTGGAGCTCAATGAGTGTATAATGGAGGGCACCAATGCTCCAGATATGCACAGCAGCTTGGGAGATCTGGGGGTGGGGGTAACTCCCTCTTATGCGTGTAAGAGATGGGTTCCTTTTGGTGAACTGATCTGGATCTGGGCGTGAGTATGGCTGGTAAAGTGAGAGGGGAGAACACTTTTGTAAATATCTGTCTGCAATCTTTTTCTTTCTGCATTGAGCACGACAGTACATTCATAATCAGAGCTCCAATACTTCTGAGGGTGTTGTCAATACAGATAGACGTCATAATTGATGCTTTGAAGTGTTGCATTGTCACAACCAAGTTTTCAAGCCATTAAATCCATGCAAGGAGGCTGCTGCTATCGCATAAGGAGGGACACACAATGCAGCGAGATCGAGTAGAATCAGTTTGCAAGAGTTTTAAGATTTGTGTTGAATTACGGAGGAGCTATGAAGGTGTATCTCGCGGGAAGGTCTTGCCTGCATAATGCACCAAAGTAGATTTGCATAATTTTGAAGCTCTCCTGTCAAAACCTGAAAGTTGTCATCATGCAAGGTAGGCAATGCACTATGAACTGGGGGGATTCACAAAGCAGGGCGGGTAGGACTGCCAAAACTTAGTGGCAAGACATTGCAATGGCATTGTGTTGAACAGTCCTGCGTCCCGGCATTATACTTTGGGAGTTTGTCTGGAGCCGGCTCTGTGCGAGTCCTAACTTAAGTTGTGGGGGCTTCTACGGAGAGTCAGAAGTGGGGAGGTAATGTGGCGGGTTCGCGGGGGGTTCGCACGCCAATTATCAAGATTGGTCCCCATCTCACTGTCCTCTTTCTCTGCCTGCATTTAGCAGGGCCAGTGTCCAGATCGTCTCATCATTCTTCGCCCCAGAGCTGCCCGCCTTCTTTGCCCGGACAAACCCTCCAAAAGCTGCAAATCTTTCTTCCTTCTATTCGCATTCTCTCCTCAACTTCATTCCCTCACAAAACCTGTAAAAGTCCTAAACCTTTCTTTCTTTGCATCTCTACGCCATCTGCCATTTCCTTCTCTCCTCCATCCCACATTCCCTTTCTTATTCTTTCCAAAATCCCTCCAAAAATACCTTCTCTTCTGCCCCCCAGATTGCACCCCCGCCGCCCCCAACCCCTGCTACAACGCCCCCGGCAATGCCAGCATCTGCTGCCCCGGGGCCTGTGGCCCCAGCACCGGCGAGGGGGGGGTCACCGCCACCTGCGCAGGCACCCCCCCGCCAGCGACATTGACTCCGGCGCCAACCACCAACGCAACCACACCTGCCCCAACCACGTCGGGACCAGTAAGTGCAAACCCAATCTTCTGTCGCTCTTAACCAAGCTTGGTCACGGGGCATTCAACCAGGGTTTAACCACGTTCTATTGAGTAGAAGGGCACTGGACGAGCCTCTAACCAGGTTTGGTAAACGGTGTTTCTCGCCCAACTAGAAAAGAGCTGACCAGTGCGCGCCAACCTTTTCATCTCACGCATTGGTCTGTTCTCTGTTAGTGCCGTATGCATTTTGCGACCAGTTGAGTGTCTAAGATGCCACTCACTTCAACCATCCACTACTAAACGGTGGCATATTACTCGAAGCTTCGCTGAAGCAGATGGTGCCAAGGAAGAAAAGACTTGGGAAGAGCAGAGTGGGTGCTGATTCTCGGCCGTACTTGCTTCAGTCAATCCTTGGAAAACGAGGAACCTGTCCTTGGCCGGAGTTCGTAAGCCCCCAACTTCCCTCGCGGTTCGGACCTAAGATACTGCGTATCAACCCGCTAATGACCTAAAAAGGGCTTCAAAACGCATACATAATGCTTGAAGCGACCAGGCCGCTGGTGCAGTGCTGGTAACCCAAGGCTAACCAGCCTCGTTGATACTTGCTTTTCCCGTGCAGCTGGGCACGGTGTACATCGTGTTCGACTTCAGCAACCCCGAGACGAACTGCGCTGACCAGGCGGCGGCCCCCGGGGGCGGCTTTGCCTTCGGCGACATCTGCCTTTACAAGTGAGCATCCGTCAGGCTGACGTCAACATCACAGCTGCAATCGGGAGCCACAAACCACGGCTTCTACTAGCTGTTTGTGCGGAAGCAAACTACAGTCGAACCTAGTAGTAGACTGCGCTGTCCTACGTATTGAAGAAGAGCCACGACGTGGCAGTCCGTCAGAGTCTCGTCCGGCCGTCCGCAAACGGATCGGCCTCGAAAGCTTTCGGCAGCTTCTACGATCTCGTCATTAGCACTGAAACTCCAGCTCGATTTGTGGTCTTGAAATGGAAGCCCACTTGTGACGGACGACTAGGTAAGGTAGACATTCCCGTGATCGTATAAGCTGTCAGTCTTCAACAATCTGATCTCACTTTGAGCAGTAGGATCTAACGAGTCAACTACTCACAACCGAGTTCTGAGTAGTCTCACTCGACGTCTGCCTGCCGGAACTTGTGTAATGATAGTTTTGCACAGGCAGACCAAATGGAAATACAGGCAATTTGAAAGTGATCCGCATCGGGAAACCTGGCCAATGCAGATCATGATCAACAAGCTGGTCAAAGTCGCTATCCCCGCAACCCCAAACATGACCGTTCCTGAGCCGTATATCACCTTCGTTATAAGAAAGCACGTTATGACTGCAGACCGCGAATCTGTCAAATCTCGCCTCCGTGTTTCGTGCCCGCGCCTCTCGGTTAGAAAACCGTTGTTCGAGTCGCCTGGCTTGTTTTCATTGCCTGGCAGGTACACTGTAGCAAGTGTGCGTTGCTCGTTGGCCCTGCATGTGAGTCGGGACAATTACACCACCAGATGATCTACTCGCCCCGACATTCTTCAGTCCCTCAACGTACCCCCTTGTGCCATTCACACGTGCACGAGCTTTCCGCCTTCACCATGGGTGGTTCTTGGCTGGTTCTGGGCTGGTTAAAATCTGGTTAATGATGTCCAGTAACCAGACGAAGTTACAGCGCGCCCGGTCAGGTGATGAGCTTGGTTAGCAGCCAAAACCCTCCTGTGAAATTTGTTGCAGGGGCCCTATTCTGGCGTCCGACCTCAAGACCGTGGTGGGCACATACGTCGAGAGCGATACCACGTTTTTCGCGGCGGACGGCGTCGACTATCTGACTGCTTCCACCACTTTCTACTTCACCACCGAGGAGATCAAGGGCCCGGTAGACGCGATCAACACCCTCGGCACCGCAGCTACCGTGGTAAGAAAACTCGCCCGGGACCTCGTTTATTTAGGCCGGTGAGGCTTCATTCCCTTCGGTCAGAGGAGGGTTAAATAGTCTTGATCTCCTCATGGGGCGGTCACGTATGAGTTCTCGGGGAAGTGGCGAGTGTTCCCTGAGGGAGCGCAATATGGTCCTCAAGAATCGGCTTTGGTCAGATTTCACTCAAGGACGCATCATGCGACAACTTAAAGCTTCTCGAAATATACGGCGACACAGACTGTCCGAGGAGTGGGTGCCAACCGTCCCGTAGTAGTTTTACCGGCGTCCCTTATGAGGAGCGCACCGTCCCCCAGAATGCTGGGTTAAAATTTTGCGGGACGAAATCACCGGTAATTTACGGTCCCTGAAAGGACAGAAATTCGGTCCCTAGCTGGGGGACGGTGCACCCCGAAAATGTTCATATGTGACCGCCCTATCAGGTCAAAAGCCTCATAATAATAAAGTTTGCTCTTGCTTGCGCACTCACACACCAAAGCACCGGGCACCCTCATCGAATTCGTGACACAGAATACTCCCCACCCGGCGCGTCCACCTTAACCCCAAATTGCAAACCCCATTCGTCCCCCGGATCCTTCATCTAGTGCAAACAACGTTATCAAGCTCGCGTTTCCGAAATAGTGTCAGGATTTTATTGATGGAGTTTGACAGGGGGTGACCAGCAAAAGCGTCCATTTCAGACGGGTTCTGAGCGTCAGCTGCAGGGAGTCGAAGCTGCGTTCGACCGTGGAAAACGGCGCTCATAATATCTTTGTGATCCTATTCAAAAAACGTACATGGGCGATCAGACATTTCCCTAGGGGTCGCAGTCAAAACCGAACTTGACAGCCGGGTGCAAATCACGTTGGACTCAAGAGTCACTTTCCACCAGATCCGAGTCTTTTCAAGAGCAAGAGATGATCCTAATCGTTGTTTTCCGTCTGCTGCAGGTTACGGAGATCGCCATCGTTGGCGGAACCGGAAAGTACCGCGGGGTGGACGGATACGTCGTTTCCGGTTTGGGCGTTGACCTCAGCCCCGCTGCCGACGGCTCCATCCTGGCCTTCCCCAAGGAGTTCCATCTGTTTTAAGCTTCTGAGAAAAGCGGTGTGCTAGTCCGCAGACTCCAGCTGATGAGCTGCGTATGGCCAGATTATTCATAAATACAAAATAATGTTCTGAGCTTCTGAAGCCGATATGTATTCTGAAGTTCTATGGCCTACTTCAAGGACTTCCATCCCACGGTTCCGGGATTGAGGTTATAGAAGTTGATGGCCTACCCCAAACGTTCCTTTATCTTTATTTTGAGACTCTGAATTGAAGCTTTGAAGCTCCCGGAGGTTGGCTCGATGAACTTGGACCAGGCATATTGGAGGGCCCATGTTCACTCGCGTTGCGACGGGCGAATCTTCAGAGCACCCAGTCACATAGAATCCTAATGACTTTATTCCTTTGAACTTCGTTAGAGGTACGTAGCTGTTGGAGCGAGTTAAGCTGAGCTTGATCTGGTCCAGCCTAAGACAGGTTTGCAGGTTTGAATCAGCCAATAAGCCACTCGATCTGGCGTTGTTGATCGACCAGTTTTCAGTAAGGATCAGAGTCTTAGCAAAGCCGAGGCCATGGATTGCTTGCGAAATACACTGGCAAGCTGAAGTTGTGGACACGGGGTCGGATAATTATTGAGGAATTGCAATTTTTTACAATTGTAGCGATGCCCAGTGATTTTGCTGACCCCGGCCTGCAGGCCGACTGGCAACTAAAAGTCGTTGTATCTCTGCATAAGTCACGGTCCCCAGATGTTCTGATCCCTACAACAATTAAATTGATGAGATTGATGGCTTGGTACGGTATTAAGTCCTCTGCATGGCCGCGTTTCCTCCCATCAGCGCATTGTTGTTTATGATTGATTGATCGCTCAGCTGCATGCTACTGCAGGCTGTACCGGTATATGCGTCGTACACAGGCATCACGTCCAACCATGCAACTACGGTATATACATGATGAACCGCCTAACTTAAGCTCGCAGAAATTTGACGTCAAACCATGGCCCAGGATCCGGCCCGCGTCTAGGTACTATCATCGCAACATATGCACTGAACTTACGTTGAGTGGGCGCAGTGCCGCCTGGCATACTACGTACGTGCATGTGCGTCACTCAGTGACCCATGAAGACCAACTCCGACGTCATTCCCGCTTTGGAAGAATCTTGAACATACCTTGTAGTGACGGCATCTAGCTTAGTATGATTCATACTGCCTGCATGACTGGTTAGCACCCTCACGGCTCAATGCCCCCTGGCAGACATGTGCAGAATTGGATGCATGAAAACCATGCCACAGTCTCCCGGCCGCCCGTCATGCGGTCTATAACATATACGATTTTCACGGACCATGAACGCTCACAAGCCGTCGCGGACACAATATCTGCGCAGCCCACAGTATCAGCAGTATTTCCTATGCTTTTTGTGGCGGTTCTGTTTTTCCTGTCCATTACTACCACAGTGATCCTATCTGCTTCAGCATAGGTAGTCAGTACAAACGACGCAAGCACAAACGAAGAGAAAGGATACCCGGTCTTCGAAAACACGTCACCAACCCATGGCACACCCGTCCGCTCGTGGATCCGAACCCGCCCAAAGAACCCCCGTTTTCCGGTCTCGGACAATAATCTGCGAGGAGATGCAATGTCTGAGATCCGTTTCTTACATCTGATCACCTCCACACGGTCAGTGTAGCCAATGCAACCCCTGACGAGCAGCGCATGTGCCTTTTGAATGATTTAAAAGGATTCTCTCCTCGAAGTTCGTTGAGCCCCTCCCCCGTCCAAGAAGCTCTTTACCGCCTGCCAGAAGGCTTGCAAGGAGAAGCCCTAACCTTGCGATAAGCCGGTCACGCTAGCGGACCATTCAGAAAAGTGGTTTTCTGACACCTGGAAATCCTTTTCCACTCCATAATCAATCAGCACCGCCGCCAAATAAGTGGGTTGGGAGAAAGCTGCATGCAGAGCGTCGCACCCTCGCCCTTTCTCCCTGTATTTCTTCTGTAAGCTGTCCATGCTAGTTATCCTTTTTGTTCTCGGTTTCCGGCAAGGCAAATCACGGGCCAGCGCCCTTACCTGGCCTCGTCCAAAGCTCGCCCGATCGTGGCTGCTCAGGACCTTGATCTGAAAGCAGAAAGCAGGGGCGATATGAGAAAGAAGCGACAATTCCAATTCAAAAGCAATGGCGCCGCTCTCAGTGCCTATAGCGGACCTCTTTTAGCTGAACCTCAGCAATGATATTGGACGACGTCACAGAGGCCGGACGGAATCAATCGGGTGACGTCATCTCTGAGCAGGATGACCTCAGCGGCTGACCTCGTGGCCCATCGCCCGCAGCTTGGCGGCCTTCTCGTGCGCGCCGGGCTGGTCCTCGAGGTAGCACTGGCTGTTGGCGATGAGCTCCGCCGAGTGGCGCACGCCGGGGAGGCCCGAGATGCAGAAGCGTGGGGCGTCCAGCGCAGCCTGCGGCAGCACGGAGTGGTCGCTCCTCTGAATCCAGGCCTATTGGACCGGGGTTCGCCGGTTTGCTCCGCCATAATTGGAATTCTGACCGGAACGTGTCAAGTGGGCGAAAGCTGGAGCCCTTTCTACGAACCACTCTCTTTGCAAGGCGTGTTCAATGCTGAATGGAGGGAGACAAGCACGGAATTGAAATCGCGGGCGACTCGCTCACCTGGGGATCCATCCCGTGGTCCAGCAGGTTCGCGACCACCTGCAAGTGCCCCTGGGGCTGCCAGCTTCCGCTGCAAGCCTCAAGAGAAAAGGCCGGAACGAAGAACGGAACGGGCGGAAACCAGCACGGAAGCTCACCTGGGGATCCATCCCGTGGTCCAGCAGGTTCACAATCACCTGCAGGTGCCCCTGCGGCTGCATGAAGCCGCCCATCACGCCGAACGGTCCGAACAGGTCGCCCGCGTGTGACTCGTCCCCGTCTTCCGGGGCGTAGGTCGCGAGCCCCGGAATAATCGTGTGGTACGGCCGCTTGCGCGGGCCGATGCAGTTGGGGTGCGCGGGGTCGAGGCTGAAGCCGTATCCGCGATTCTGAGACGGGAAACGTTGCGTAAGAGTCGCTTTTCGGCTTACTCAGCATTCACTTGATGTGTTTTGACGCTCGGTATGTGATCGAGATGCGGGTCAAAGAGCCGATGCGCGAGAGCCGTGGCCGCGTTTGTGAAAAGAAAAGGGCTGGCTTTCAAGTTGAAGAGGGTTTTAAGCTTTCTTTCTGAGACTGCGGGGTAAGTACTTCGTGTGGTATAGGTCGTGGGACGCTGTGGGGTTAGGGTTGCGCTAGGCAAGGGTTGGATTTGGAGCTGCAACCTGAAGAAGACGATCAAGGGGCCATCGGGCTTGTAGATGCTCACGTTTATGTTCCAGGATTCTCAAGTCGATCTATCAGTAGCTTCAGAATCGGCCGCTCACAAGAGCTGATGCGATGAGGTACCGTTGGAGTACCGTTGGATTGCCGTTAAATACTGAAACCATATCCGCGGCTCTTAGGAGCAAACAAGTTAGTTTTGAACTATTGACATACATTTGCTCGGGCGCAGGTTCAGGTCCATAAAGGTCTAAATTCAAGCGGTAACCTCGGCCTCGGTACCATTTGAAGAACCTTGGAGGTTGGGATGATGGGGAGAAAACAGCTTTGCAAGGTTGGAGCCTTAGGGTTGTGCTCGAGCATAACATTTCGCCGGATGCAAACAGACATCGACCTCTGTTCTGTGGAATGCTTTCTTGCTTTTCTGACCTGTTGAGTCTGAGGTGACGACGGTACAAAAGTCTACAGGCGTCAGATTGATTGCGGGGTGGGCGATCCAGGGCCATCCGCGGCCATGCGGCACAAAGACGTACTGCGGGCTTGAGTGGAAGGGATAGCAACATGTGCTGGCTCACTTGTAACGAGAAGCCGCAGCCTTCCGGAATGATGCCCGTCCCGAAACCCATGAAGTTACTGCAGCACAGACCAGAAGCTCCGTCTGTAAGCTCCTTTTTGATCGGTATCCGAAAAGGTAACCGGGGTCTCCGCTACACCGAAGTCCCACTTGGTCGCTGACAGACCTTGAGAAGGCCGGGAAGGCCCCGACCAGACGTCTTGACACTTTAGGACTAATAAGCTTCAGGAATTCTAAGCTCGAATCGAAAAAAGTAGAAGCCTGACCTATAAAGTACCTGCTCCGCACCCGGACCCACCCTAAACCCCAAACTAACCCTACCCGTCCCAGGCTGGTGATCTTACTATTCCTAAAGCTATCTATTTTTGAAGTGTCATTGCTTCTCAAGGTGACTCAGAAACTCGGGCTAGTGTGCACAGATCCCTTGTCTTATCCAAGGTGAGTTTGCTGGGAGATACGAGAGGATGCTGGCGGACCTCAAAAGGAGGTGTGCCGATTCTCACCTGTTAATCATACTGCAGGCGTTCCCCTTCCCGTCGACAACGCAAAAGTAAACGGTGTCCGAGCCTCCGCCCTGGATGCTGGGCGTGACGTGGATCGCTTTTTCAAGGTCGATGAGGGCCGCGCGCTCCTTTCCGTGCTCCTGCGAGACACGGAGAACTTGGTTGAACGGAACGGCAGTTGATCGAGACCTACCTTGTTGATCGAGGCATAATGACGGTAAAGAAACATACACCTGCTGAGAATATGGAACTGTCAGTGTCACATAGCTTCTCGCCTCTATCCGCTCAGACGGCGGCTTCAAACTTCGAACGCTGTTATCTACGATGTCAACACAAGACAATCAAAAGTTCCGCGCACTTGATGTCTCAACGATCTTGGCTTTTGAAACAAGTTTACCAGGCAGTATGAGCTGCTTCCGAAACATCGAAAAAGGAAAAACGCATCCTACGCTGAGGTGAAAGGATTCAATGGTGGTGCATTCTCTAAGAGAGCCAGATGGAAGGTCCCATGTTTATGGAAGATTGACTGATCGTTGAGGATTAGGGCGAAAGAGGGGAAAATTGGTGAGCAAAAGAGACCGCCAAAAGAGACGACTAAGCTTGTGTTGCTCAACATCTTCTGTGCCTTCCCTTTTTTTTCAAAACACTCCCTTTTCTCATTGTTGCGACAAGGGTCTTAGCTTGAGACGGCAGGGAGCTGACTCGCACGCGCCTCCCAATTTACAGCTTCTCCCGACCATCCAGCCAGTTTTACTGAGAATATTAGTCTAAGCTATTCAGTCTGCTGCCGACTGAAAACAGTCTACATTAGTCGACACTAAAACTGGCAGGTTGCTTGGGGAGAAGCTGTAGAACTGCCGGGAAGCTGGATAGCGTAAGCTTCGTGTGCAAGATTACCCTCTTTCCAACACCCCCAGGGAGAACCTAGTCAATCTTAACCGAAAGTCTTAGCGCGAGTCGAGTGATCCACCTTTGAAAGCAGTTCTTGGATGGGGCAGTGCACAACGAGCGGGTCGGCGATGTATGCGAGCGAGTCCGCGAACGCGAGCCGCATGGCCTCGATCAACACGTGGTAGTGCTGCACCGACGAATGGTCGCCCAACAATGTGCCGCCGCCCTGGGCTGCACAGGCGGGAAAGGGCGACACATATTGGACCTCTGAAAGTATTCCAGACCTACAAGGAACAAGTTTCGGCGGGATGGCTGTAGGGCCGGCGTCAACCAGAAAGGCTGGGGGTCGAGAAACCGTCAGTGTGGCAGCTGGCCCTGAACTCTGGTAATAACTTTCTGGTCTTAAGCATGCTGAGCCTGGGGCTGATGGGGTATTCGCACTTGGCAATTTTCGGTCAAAACCGAGCCCGATCGGGCTCGGTTCGGACATCTCGAGCCCAAGCCTGATCGATTTTGAATCGAGTCGACATCCAAACCGATCAGGCTTGGGCTCAATTCTCTCGGGCCCGAAGACCATGATCGAGGCGACGGTGCTCGGCCGCAACGGTATCCATTGCGAACGGTACCGGTCAAAACCGAGCCCGATCAGGCTCGGGTGGTCACTTTCTTCAATTTCAGAAACTACAGTGCGAACACCCTATGAGCGTGAGCTTGAGCCTGACCCTGAGGCTGAGGCTGAGGCGGCGCCGGCCGGACGACTGGAGGCTGGGTCGGAGCGGGAGCGGGCGCAGGTGCTGCAGGAAAAGACGGGGGAGCAGCTCGGGGCGCGGCTGTACCGACAGGGGTTGCGGGGAAGCACTCTCAATATCAAGATGCAATGCGGGGGACAGCTTACGGGTATAGAACTTGTGAGCGTCAAGAACAGCGGATTGGGGGACAGCTCTTGGATTGTCGAAGTTGGAGAGGGCACTTGCAATTTGTTCCTTGACCAAAATCCGCGTAAGGTCGGGCTTTGGGTGCCAACATATCAAAAGAATCGGTACCACGATTCACAATACCAGAATGTACCAGTGCCATGATCGACAAGAACGTAAAGCGGATTTTGCCCAAAGGCCCTGTCTACAAGCGACACGCTTTTAACGACGAACTCCAAGAAGCATGAGGCTCTGAACCCGTGAAGAGAGCCCCTGAGTCGAACGCGCTTACCGAGGGACTAAAAATGCAGCGCACCACTACCAAATACACCTTAATTCATGAGGCCCGCACTTTTCAAGCAAGTTTAGCAGCCCTTACTCCAAACCTCCAACAAAAGTCGATTGGCACTTGACTCTCATAAGGTAAATCCCGAAGTTCTGATACTGGACCGCCCCACTCCTAACAGAGTCAAAATTTCCCTTTTTGAGAAGTGGAGGGTGATCGACGTTCGATTGACCGCTCTCACCTGCTGTGCGCGGCCCTGGCGCGCCGCCATTGGGCGTCTCCTCCATTGGCATGAATGCCCCCCGGCACTTTTGGCAGCGCACATACTTGCCCTTGCTCGAGTCCGGAAACGTGTACCTCTGAAAGCACGTCGTGCACTTGCAGACGAACCGATCTGGGGGGGATGCCACGGGCCCCTGTGGGACATGAGCCCCCTGCTGACCTGCATAAGCCCTTGTTTGATCGCCAAAGAGCTGGAAACGCTTGGGACGGAGAAGAGTCTACTGTACAGCGTGTGACCGAAAATGCGGCCGGCATTCTGGGCGCCCATGCGCTCCAGAAGGCCGCAAGCAGTCGACAAGGCCGCTAGCAGTCTCCGACAAAATTTTAGCACCATTCTCGACCGCCCGGTTCGACCCTCGATTATGAAACTTACCATAGCCAGAGGCACGAAACGACGAAGAATGGAGTCGACATTCAGCGCTTAGTCAGAACATTGTCTATGGAGTAGCCTGAGCCCAGAAAGAGAGCGCTTACCTTCCAGAATGTTCAGCGCTATCAGAGCCGCTAGCCCGTGCGTCGGAGGGGGGACTTCCCAAACCTGAACGCCCCTGCAAAACAGCCCGCACATGTGAGACTGAAAGAAGCACTCCCAAGTCGCCTTGCGATGCTGTGCGCCTCCGCAGTTCGAAGAATTCTGGTTAGAAAGGATTTGTTCCGAGGCGTTACGGTGTCCAGGCCGTATAGATAAAGTAGCGTTCATACACGAAACGCGTACAGCCGTTCGTCTTTAAATATAGATGTTGGGAAACGAATCCCGTCAGAGGATCGACGGGTCTCCGTTTGTGTATGATAACCAGCAAACGAAAAGCAAAAACTGTCCCCTTCTTCATCTTTCTTCTGACACGAAGAATGAACGCAACAATTCGCACCTGCACAAGGACTGGAAGGAAGTCTCACTTATAGGTGGTGTGGATCGGCTCGGGGAATGCAGTTGTGTGCTCCTTGAGATCCTGGAGCGTAGAGACTCCGCCTTTCGAGTTTACGGCCTTGACGATTGCCTCCGCAACAGCCCCCTCGTAGAAACCCTTCTTGCCGTGCTCGGCCAACAGTCGAAAAGTGCTGCAGCAAACGACGGGGCTCACGAGCTTAGAAGGAAAGATTGCCTATTTTTGATAGTCAAAAATCAAAATCTCCATGAGTGCTCAAGTATCTTGTTTAGAATAGAAACGTTTGGATACGATCACGGATTAAACTTGCATGGGTACCCAAATAAACAAAGAACAAGATTATAAGAAAACCCACAAGTGGCAGTGACCCCGAAGACTGCTGAGACTGCACCACGTGGTGTGAGCCGCGAAGTTCGAGGTTCCCTCCCTCACTCTTCAAGCTCTGCCTTCTCGCGCCCAACTTTCAGAACTCCCCCACCTCAACAAAAAAACACAGAACGGCTCTGCACCAGACGTTGCCCCTCACTTTCCGAGCTTGGGCATCTTGATGATCTCTCCTGCGCGGGGGGCTCGCCCGTCAATCAGCATGTCCCCTGCGTGCGGACCCCCCTGCTGCAGCTGATCCACGCCTCGGGCCCAATGGGAGGCGGTGATAGGAGACACTGGGTAGCCCTTTTCAGCGAGCTCGATGGCGGGGGCGAGGACTTCGGACAGCGGGAGCGTGCCGAACCGCTCGATGATGTCAGCCCAGGCGGCGGCAGCACCAGGGATCTGAATTGAGATTGGTCCTTCGCTTGTCGTCTGAGAAGGGGCTGGGAGGCTTTCTGGACCCAAGCTTGGATTGTGAGCTAGAACAGATGGAGCAGTTTAGGGCTTTACAAGTTGAGATGAAGCTGTGGAATATGGAGGCGAACCCGTTCCACAACACAGATTCAACCAAGCGGCGATGGCCTTCAGACGTTGAGCAGATTGAGCCAAACCCCTGTCAATCAATCCAAACGAGGAGCTTGGGAATTGCGCTTTCTGAGTAAGCTGGATACGGATTTCACTCTTCTCTGATCAACTGTCTCTCTCGAGGTTAGGGGGCCGATGAGCAGTGCGACCTGGTCGGTATGTTTCACATTAATCCGTTAAAAAAAAAATGAGACATACTGACCAGCTACAGCACCTGGATCGGTCGCCTTCAGGCGAGACAAACACACTCACAGTGACGGTCAATCCGCTATAGACTGGGAGGGCGTCTCTGATTCCCCGCTCTTGTATCAGGTCCTGGGTGAGGCCAGAGGGGCTACGGCCATTTCCCTGGACGCAGCTTACGGTCCTCTTGGCTGCATCGTAGAAGAGCGCAAAGGCGTCTCCCCCAATGCCTGCAGGATGAGAAGGGACAAGTTGCAATTGGGGCCATTGATGCAGAAGAGCTGAGATCGACACTGTGAACTTCTCAAGAAATTAGAACTCCACATTGAAGGGTGATGATGACGTGGAGGAGAATATCCCCTTGTACTCAAACAAGATGTAAAGAATACCCAACAAAGAGTCTGTTATGATCCTCCTCGTGTCGCCAACTTCTGATCTTTGCACTTGCAGTTGATGAGAAGTGTCCGTTTTATTCCAAATTGAGAAGAGGCACTGCTTGAAAGGAGCATTGCAGATGAGGAGGCATGCGATGCATAGTAGATATGTGAAAAGGCTCAGGCAAGCTAGACCAAGGCTGTCTCAAAATTCTGATCAGGCTTACCAGTGGAGCAGGGCTCAGTAACATTCAGGCAGGCAGCCACCGCGACTGCGGCATCCGCAGCATTCCCTCCCTACAAACACAACAGGGCCAACAGATAGTCAAAAGAGAGGTGCTTGCAGGTTGAATCAAGTGCTGTAAGTGTGCAGACCAGTGCTCAATTGGGGAGACCGTTGACTTGGACGAAAGCACAACAGTGAGGTATGGAGCCTACATGCACTTTTCCCAGCATACCTCCTTCTGACTGGGGTGGTACTACAGCACAACAGCTATATCAAAAGGAAGGGACTATTTAGAAGGAAGTGACCATCCAAATTGATCTTCCATTGTGCAGTATGAGCAACTTCATCATAGCTTCATCACCAAGCAAGAGACGTCATAACTCTCTGTGTCTATTTCTATGAGGGCAAATTGTGATTCATCAACAATCTGTGACACCGTTGAGTGTTGAGCTTTGATTGATGCACTGCGTACTTTATCCCGTGCTCCGAAGCTCCCTCTGAGCTCGCACAGTAAGGAAGGGGCAAATTAATCATGTACTATACAGAGAAGAAGTCACTCGAGGTGTACGTTAACGTCAACCACTCTCACCTTCTGCAGAATTCTGAGCCCGGCAGCAGTCGCGAGGGGCTGGGATGAGGAGACGATGCCATTCTGGCTCAGGACAGGCGACCGGCGTGATGAGAACAGCAGTGGCGCCTCATCAGAAACCTCGCCCACCCCGGTGAGGAGGGCCTCCGCAGACATGCTGCCCAAGAAGGCCCGTAAAATGAATTGATCCTTGAGATATTCCTTCCTGAACGCAGATCACAATCCTGCGCAGCAACAATGGAGCTGAATCCCTGCTGACTCTTGAAGTGAAGAGGGCCTGCATGAGAGCTACCGTGCTACAGCTACCTATCTAGCAAGAGGGCAAAGCAGTTCTAAAGCAGGCAACGAGGGGCTCGATTTCGCACGCATCGAGACCCCCTACAAAGATGGAATTACGGAAAGGGGGTAAAACCTATACCATTTCCTACCCCATTTTTCAATTCGCTTTGATTCTGCCAGTGCTAGAAATTCTAGCTAGGTAGCTGATTTCTGACCACTGCCAGCATTGGCGACGACATCCTACTTAATGTTTGTTGAGGCAAAGGCGCATCAGTAAATTGAGTAATCACAATCCTGTCAGCTGAATCGAGGAGCTTTGAAGGTCTGCAGCAGATGAATGCTGGGGTGGACAATGCAGTGCTCACGTGCGGAGATGCAAGTCTTCTTCGCAAATGCTAGCGGGTTTGCTGGCTTCATTCTTAGACTTGCCCTATACGACAGTGGTGCCCTAAAGAAAGTCATGCAAAGAGGATCTTACTGGTAGTCCAGCCACGGTGCCGCTAAGGCGCTTCCTCCGCTGGTTGAAAGGTCCAATCGAAGTCTGCACTGACCAGAATTCTGGAAGAGCAACTGTCAATGAGAGACGGGTAACTTGCAACCCTGAGCCAGGAGCTCCTGGCTCCCTCTAATCACAATCTTGAGGAGACCTGGTTTCCCTTGACCAATCCTGCTTCAGGTTAACAGTACAGTCTTGTCTGCTCTGGGTGTTGAGGTCTGGGTTGAGGGCGGGGTGCTATGGGTTCGTCTCTAGGGCCCCAGGGCCGGTGGGCCCTCGGTATGTCTTTTGTCACGGCCGTCGCGCTCATCTGGGTGGTCGCCAGCTTCGTTGTCCAAGCCGTCGAAGCGGCCGGGACCACGCCGTTCCTCTTGACCTACATTTGCAATTCACTCTTTATCCTGTACATCCCCCTGACGGAAGCCACACGCGGCTGCCAATCCTTCCTCAAAAGGCGCCTCGCTCGGAGAGCCCTGCAGCTCCCGACCTCCCCGCAGCGCGAGGTGGGGGGGCAGAAGAAACCCAACTGGCACTTTGAGCTGTGGCGGCGGAAGAGCCTGCCCGTCTCGTACACAGTGATTGGCTTGGCAAGCCCGGGGAGGTCCGAACCAGATCTCGAGCCAGCAGACAATGACAGCCTTCAAAATGGGGGTGTCCATAATGCAGCGATGCCGGGGGGGGGGCACGGTGCGCCCCTTTCGGAGGGTCACAGTTCCCATTCTTCAGGACATCAGAATCTGCCAAGGATTACGACACGCGGGGTGGCGCAATCACCTGATCTGCCTCCGACTGGAGCCTCCCCCCCAAAGCACGGAGCGTCCCCCAAGAGACAGGGCATGTCCCCCGACCTGCGCCCTTTGCACCACCACCTCGTCTCCGCAGTTTCTCTTCCAGGGGGACGCGCAAGCCCCCGTTCCCCGGGCGCTTCCGGTTTTCGGGCGGTCGACTTTTCCCCTCCAGAAGGCCCTGTCGAGGACCGACGCCACAGCCTGAGCCACGCTCACAGGCCCCCGGCGCTTCCGAGCACCCCCGAACAGGGCCTCTGGATTGATACGTCAGATGGGGGGGGTCCCGAGGGTCATCGAATGCCTCTGCCGAGCCCCCACCGGCTCGCCAGCGACGTGTTTTCGGAGGAGGATCTGGGGGGGTATTCCGAGGTGGACATGAGCGAGCATCTGTGGCATCCGGGCATGCAGCACCAGCAGGGAGGGGGGTATTGCGAGGAGCACAAGCGGGCGGCGCGCATCGGGCTGGTGATTGCGCCGCTTTGGTTCATGGGGCAGTACACGTTCAACCTGTCGCTCATTTTAACGACAGTCACGGTGAGCAAGGCTGCTAAGAAGTTGGCTTGAGCTCTTTGAATGTGTATCGTCGTCAGCCCTTCCCCTGAATTCCATTGCTGCCTGTCACTAAGTTTCTTCCTTGTTAGCACAAGGCCATCCAAGCCGTGCAATCGTCCACTTGATTAAAGGGTGTCCCCCTCGGTGCATTGCGCTTGTAAGCCTCGCTATAAGATCTGTCCCCGCCCCCTCCCTTCCTGTAGCCTTAAACTAATCCTGGTCACCTGCTTCTTCCTCTGTCGACCCGTTTCTCGTCCATTTCGAGTGTTCGTATATGATTGACTGCCAATGTTTCGCCCTCCTCCCTCGTCCTGCAGTCCAACACGATCCTCAGCAGCTGCTCCTCTCTCTTCACCTTCATCATCTCGGTCGTCTGGCTCAAGGAACCCTTCACCTTCTTCAAGCTCGCCATGATCGGCTGCGTCATGGGGGGTACCGCCTTAGTCAGCGTCGCAGACTCTGCCCCGGACCCCCAATCCCGTAACCGCGCCCCTAACCCAATCCTTGGAGACGCGCTGGTTCTCCTTTCCGCGCTGTTATACGCAACTTACACCACCATGTTGAGGAAAGAACTGCCGGACGAACGGAGTGAAGAGGAGGAGGGGGAGGCGGTTCCGGAACAGAAAGTTTCCACCGCTCTGGTTTTTGGGTTTGTGGGGCTGTTCGGCGCGCTCCTGCTGTGGCCGATCCTGCTGGGGTTGCACGTCACCGGGGTGGAGCGGGTGCGCAAGATGGGGGGGAGGCAGTTCGGGCTAATTATCGCGAAAGGTGAGTCCCTCGCTGTAGAGTCTCGATGGCATATTTTGAGAGTCGAGCCCCCGTCGGAGACTCTTCTCGTATGAAGAAGCTTAAGTAGAAGGGCTGTGAAAAGTGCAGAGAAAAGCGGCAAAATTTGTCAGTTGATCGGAACGAGATTCGCCGAAGTTGTGTACCGATACACAAATCTGAGGTTGTGTCATTGGTTTGGGTACTTGCTCTACCGGGCGTTCTGATCCTCCTCGATACGGTTCGGTATCAGAAGTTTCGGCGGCAATCACAATGGCGGTGTGGTGCTCTCAACAATTACCAAGGTCGCGGCAGCATCCAAATTCTTACAAATTTCGCCACACCATATGCTCTTCCATTCCTTTTTCTTTGCATCCCCCTGCTCGTCCCCTATGTCTTGCCCTGCGCACTCAGGCGATCGAGGGTAAGGAGGTTTCGCAGATGATTTTTAGAACTCTTGAGTTACCGGTGCTTCCGCTCAGGGTGGGGCCAGCCAGAGTGCTGGTTCCCTTATGCGCGGGAGCGTGCAGAAGCGACGCTCGTCTCACAAAACGATGAAACGCGCATCACAGACCCATGAAACGCGTAGGCCTTCCAGAACGATATGGTGTTCCTTGACGCGTTGGTCTATGGTTTAAGGTAAGATAGTCTTAGGTGGGATATGGTCATGGCCCGGGGAACGGGAGGGGTTAGTCTGGGGGTTAGGCTGGAGACCATTTGTCAGTCTAGGTTTTAGGATTGATTTCTCCTGGAGAACTACTACTATCCTACCTATCAATTTTCTTACCTAAACCACATGAGTATTTCCTTGACGCATAGGTCTGCTCGACAACGTCCTCAGTGACTACCTCTGGGCCCGAGCAGTGGTCCTCACAACCCCGACCGCCGCCACCGTCGGCCTCGCCTTTCAGACGCCGATCGCGATCGTCGCCGATATATTCATCAACAGGAACAGCCCGAGCGTTCTGCTTCTTGTTGGAGGCGCTCTTGTAACAGTAGGATTCTTTGGCATCAACGTAACGCCACTTACGAGTTGGGGGAATAAGTTGGACGGCCGGGCGCTGGAACCGGGCGGCCTCGAGTTGTCGCCGGACAACCAACGGCCGGTAGAGGGGTCACGGGACCTTGCTGACGGTTTCGAGCAAACAAGGACATGACTATTACCATGTTGGCAGTGTTGATTATGTTATGAGTCATTTACTTGTATCTTAATAAGGTCCGGGGCGCAACTTGCAAGTTCGCATCGAAGCTGCGAGCTAGAGTTAGATTGCATTGAATCTGGAAAGGTTTGCAGTACCTTGGGATGTGCCGCCGGCATAGACGAATGAATACGATGCGGCCGCTCCGCCAATATTTAGTACGCTATGGCCAACCAGCTCAATTGCGCTCAGCCGCGCATATATTCCAATGACATATGTGCACGTGCATGACCGTCGTCATGGCACGGCGGGCTGGCACCAGACGGTCACTGTGCACCGCCCACGAACCACATGCCGCATATGCACGTGTGCAGACACGGTACGTAGCTAGATGCAATGATGGGCTGGTGGGCCTGGATCAGCAGGCTGGCTTACGTCACATATGATAGATTCTATATGATAGCTGCACGGCCCCCGAGCCAGTTCATGCAAGCAATGAACTCGATCATCGATCCGCGCTTATAGCCAGAGAGCTGCCTCTGCTGACATTGGACAACGGTGCGGTCAGCGAATCGATCTGAGTCGACGTACAATTAGTTAATTTGCAGGTCGATAGAGGTTTACCTACATGGCCGTGCTGGGTGGGGCCATATGATCTGGACATATACGGACATAATGTGCGTTCGAAGACTGCAAACGCAACGACCATCAAGCTCTCGAACAGCTCTATGACTGTCGGGTCACTCATAGCATGAGGTGGTAGCACTTTCTTCGCCCCTGAGCATTACTCCTGTACCTCTTCCGCAGACTGTTCATTGAGCAACCTCGAACCCGACCGCCTAGTAAATTTAACGTACTATCACAGACAGGGAACAGACCTCACTGATTCAAGCAGTCGAGCATCATGTGTTAGCAGATCCTAGGTCTTTCTTTTGTTGACTGCTAAAAGAATAGGAGGTTCGTGGCGAGTCCAACAACGAGCGGCTCCACCACAATCCGTGTCATGAAGTAGAACACCATTCCTAGGGCCACCGAGATGGGCAGAGCTGGCAAAGCATGCCGGTACACAGCTAGCAGCACCAGGGTCGCCCCTGCAGTGCAGCAAGAAGAGTAGTTTAGATTGACGTGGCAGAAACGGGTGGTTAAAGAAGTAGGTTTTAGATGCGGCCTCCCGTGGAGATGCAATCCAGTTCCAGAACGTGCGAAAGTGGCCTCAGAGTATGTACGGTCATTCAAAGGACCTTACGCAAGCTGTGCGGGCAGATATAGTAAGAGGTGGTTTCTTGACCCCTGGGAGGTTGGCATATCAATAACTCTCCAAGGATCCTCAATCCTGTTGGAGACGGTGAAGTGTGCACTACCTTCGTGTTCCCTCATACGTTGTTCTTATGATTGCAATCGACTCATATGGCTTGGGCCGATAAGCTATGCCTCACCGAGCCCGGCTATGATCGCCAGGTAGCACGCGTACACGGTCATCAGGTCGTACATCGCGGCTCGGCCCACCAGGAGACTGTAGAAAATGAAGTCGCCCAGGCCCAGCTGCGGGGATGACGCCAGCATGACGTCAGCAAGAGCCCAAGGAAGGTACGGAAGTTGCCACATTGCCTGGACGGCGACTTCACAGGCTGGGCCGCAAGTCAATCAACTCTGGAGCTGGGCGAGGTTGTGGCGACGGGCGGGATTCGGGGGGGTGTCATTGGCAGGTGAATGAGTTTCTTCGACGCTGAGGGCCGAAACGCTCCAGATCGAGCATGCGGGAAGTCGTTGGAAACCGCTGATTGCGCAGTGACAGGTATACGACAAACGAAACTGTGGCTCCAGCGCTTGGTGAAACTGGGCAAACCACTATAGGTCTCAACACACTTTTGTAAACGAGATTTCGACTACCGCCCTGTCCCGCCCGGACGCCACAGCAAGAAAGCCACATCCGGCTCGAAAGTAACCCGTTTCGGCCCCGCGATATGTTCTCTAAACCTGCAACACGACATCGTGGCTTCATGGGGCATAACCACTTGACCGGAAACAAACGCCCGAGGAGCTTATTGAAAATGACTTTTCCGACCCCGCAGGTATGTTTCGACACTGCATTTGACATCGTGGCTTCATGGCGCGCAACCAGTTCTCCGGAAACAAAAACCCAAGGACCTCACCTTTATCGCATCCGGCAAGCCCCACTCCTCTTCATCATACCCCAGCCCATCTTCCCCTTCTCCGCTGCTTCGGGCCTCCTCTTCCCCCCCCTCCGCGCCCCCTCTCTGCGTCCCCCCCACCAGCGGTGCACTCTCCCCCTCATCAATCTCTCCTTGGCTCCCTGACCCGGGTAAACCCTCGTTAGCCGTCCGTTCGGATCCCGTTCGTCTGCCTCTTAACCGCCCACTAACCGCGGACTGTTCTGCCCTAACCTGCCCGCGACTTGACGACGTACCTGCCCCTAACCGTGTTAGTTCCTGGCTCTCTGGGGCGTTCGTCTCCGCTAACAAGCCTTGACTTCCAGAGCCTGCTGCCCTGTTGTTGTTTGATGTGCTTGACAATTGCGCGCCATTCGCTGAAGACGAGCTAGGTCTAGGGTCGCTCGCTCCAGAGTCTCGCGTGGCAACAGCTAGCTGCTGAAGAAACAGAAAGGGACGTCAGACGGCTGCCTAACAGCCAAGCCTCTATTCAACGTCGAGAAAGCAAGACTCTGTTAGCAACGGAGGGAAGAGGGTGGCACATGGGTGGTGCTTGTTTCGCATTGAAAGCGGGCTTATGCCGCACTCTTTATGTCCACGCAAACAACTCGCAGGTCAAAGAGCGGCAGTCAGAGACGGACACATCGCCAGGCCAGCAAGAAGGGATGAAAAAGTGACTCTCTTGTAATAGGTAGAACATCCAATGCTTGCAGACAAGGGACGCGTCATAATCTTCTGAACGGGGCAATGAACGGGACCTGTGACAGCTCGATCCAAGCTCGGCCATGCATGGCTACCTTCCTTTGAGGTCTCTTTTCGATGCAACGGCAACTCGATCTCCCAACATAAAGCACCATTAATCCGCTCATACTCCCTGGAACTGAGACTGTAACCTATCTCCAAAAGGCAATCTCCCTAGTTCAGCAAACCAAACCAGATGCCAAGCTACTTTTAGAAAACTTGCTGGAAAGAGCCTCCTCGTACGTGGTTAAGAAAGTGCTCACCTCTATGCCATCGTCCGCACCTCCAGAGCGTTGTTGCCGCCGTCGCCTGCCAGGCGCGGCTTCCTGCAGGCAGATCGTTCGGTGTTAGTCATCTATCACGAATCAGTATCAAGTGCCCCCGTGTTGCTTCCAAATCAATCCCCTGTGTACGCAAGCTAGGTAGAAACCTAGATTAAGGATCATGCGCAATGTGGCGTTGATCTATTGAAAGCAATACAAAGCAAGAGAATAAACCACCTACATTCAGGAAGGCTTGGGGTGATTCCACAATCTGTGATTAGAACTGTTTGCACAAGAACATCAAAGCTTGTAGACTTGGCTCACAATCCCTTCCCTCGAATATACTCTTCCAAACAACATGTCTCGTCTTTCGTTTCACACTGGTTTCCACTTACTCTTCGCGTCTCCACTATTCCAATCTTTCTTTACTCCAAACAAAGTGAATACCAAAGCCCAGCAAGACGAGACTTACTGACTCGTTCTGCCGGCCTCGGCCCGTCATGGCCTCCCCCCGGGAGAGCGACGTGGGCCGCGCCTCGTAGATCAATGCGGGGATGTCCTCATCCCTCTCGATGGACATCTCCACCAATAACTGCGTCAACCCACAGACCACTGGCATCTCAAAGAAAAGATTTTCGAAAGCACGTTTCAGGCGCCATGATTACTCTGCATTCTAACTGGCCTCAAGCTGGAATCTGAGAAGCCCAAACATCAACTTTCGGATGGAACCCCACAGACCCAGAGACTGTATTCACAACAATGCTCCACTTGAAAGCCGCGCACAATGCGCAGATTGTAAGTCATAGTCACTAAAAGCTGACTTTCTGATCTTCATCAAAGCAAACCCCGCGAAAGCTGAGCTTAAACTCTTTGGTTCAAAACCAGAAGCTCCTGGAAAGCTGAGGTTCAACTCTTTAGTTCAAAACCAGAAGTTCGACACTCCAAGCCCCATTTCACCAAGTGAACTTTCTTAACCCCTTACCTTGAGTGGGCCCCCGGGCGCCAGCACCGCGGCCAGGTCGTAGAGCGCCATCGCAGCTAGTACAGTCCAGGTGGTCCATTCCGGGAGCTTCGTAAACCAGAACGCAACCACGGCGCCGATAAACACGAGGTAACCCTGTTTCAGGAAGATGGGCATCTTCCAGAAGAAGACGGCCAGAACGCCCACAACTGAGAAGTTCCAGAGGACGATTGAGAAGGTGATGATGTCGAGAGGGATGCTCGCGGCCTGGATGATCTGGATCCCGAGGATGCCGCCGAGGAGGGCCAGGATCGTGAAGCCGGAGAAGCCCATGTAGCCCCAGATGACCTGTGGACAAGTGAGTTATGATTGAGCTTCTGTGAGGGTGGCAATGCGATCGGTGCAAAGAGGGTTCACAGAAGGCAGATACGGAATGGGGCTGTGGCGAGTGCCTCAAAGCCCAGGATGTTTTGTATCTGGCAAGTTCATAACCTGAAACGAACCGTCTTCCTCTCCATTCGCCCACTATGGAGAAAGAGGACGCCGTCCGATGTCGATTGCATTCAATGAGCAATGTGTGTGCCAGAATTGGTACACAATTTCTGACAATCTCAACGACTTCAAAAATGCCAATGTTGACAGGGTCAGGCAGTAGTGCCGCAGGCTCGGAAGAACAACAGAAGACTGCATTGTCCATTGTCCAATCTTGAAAGTTGTAAGAGCCAGTAGCCACCACATCGAAAGAAGAGCAGCTCCAGCTCCTTTACTTTCCACCATCTTGCTAGATTTCATGCCAGTCCGCAGAGGCCACCTGATCAGCTGCAAGACGCAGGACTTTTTGATGCCATAGATGATATTGAACTATGTTCAAGGTTTAGGAAGTCGGCATGTTAGCCACGGGCATTAAAAACCTTCAAATTCAGGCGCCCACCTTAGTGCACCGGAAGTAGAACAGCGCCACGAGCACGAACGTGATTGCTGCCACCGCCACGATGAAAATGAGCGCGTTCAGGAGCGCCCCCCCCAGCTTTGTCTCTGCCGAGTCGGTGCTCTTTTCGTGGTAGAATGAGGTGGCGATGAAAGGGGACACACCACTGTCTGACCCGTGGGGGGTCAGCCCGTGCACCAGACAGACCACCACCAGCATGCAGATGGAGACAGGTGTCACGATCGCAGTGATCTCTTCCCCCAGCCCGTCGATGACGCTCTTGGGCTCCATTTTGAGGAGCGAGGGGGTGCACGCCAGGGGGGCTGCGAGGAGGCCAACAAGGGGTCCTCGTGAGGCCCTGTTAGCGAACCATCAGGGGTGTTCCTAAATGGCGCCTTCGCTGAGCAGCCATTGAAACTTGAAGTTGAGGGTATCCTTGGTCTGGGGCAGCATGCGCCAGCTACTATTTACTTCCAATTTGTGTTGGAAGGTGGAACCCTAATCTGCACCGCTCACCTTCCATGAGGTCCAGCCTCCAGGGCACAATGACAAGCGCCCGCGCGAGCACGAGAATGCCCCGCGCAGAAAGATTGGCCGTGCATATCGCAGGTCTTGAGTATTCTGCGCATGCTGGCCGGCGCGCACATCGGAGGGATGTGGCTGCGTGCTGTGTACATGAGGCCTCGGCCTCACCGCCTGCAAAATTGTGGAGTCCTGGATTGAGGTGGTGGCATTCCTTGAAAGCGCTTTGAACATTGTGCAGCAACAAACGTTCCTTTTTGCATAAGTTGCGAGAGGCGTATGGGAGCGAATTTGCACTGGTAGAGAGAGCTCAGTAGGAGGGCCAAAGGCTGTTCTGAGAGCCTACTAAGGTTTTGGTTGTTTCAGTTGTGGGGTGTAATGAGGCTTTGAAACTCGTCAACAATGCAGCCGTTCAACAATCCGGCGGTGAGTTTCTCAAGTTGCGTGGGTGCATGTAGTTTCTTCAAATTTTGGTAATGGTTGTTGTGCAATCTTTCTTTCGATGCTTCTGCAGAAGTCGGTGCTCCTGTGAGCTGCATGTTGTTTGTCCGAAGGGCCCTGCGAGTAGTTAAGATGGGCAGAAGTGTTGAATAGGGCTTTCCTTAAAACGGGTTGGAATAGATTTGTCAATGGTTGGGATGTCAGATAACAATCAGAGCGCCTGCTATGAATCCGCAACCAACAAGAGAGTCCTTTCTGAACTGGTGGTGCTACTTAACAATAAGCTGAACAGTTTGAGTAGTAGAGAGATGAATTCTGCTGCATTTGGTGGTTGTTTCTTGATGTCCACTTTCGGTTTTTGCAATTTCTTCAGGTTGCATTTCCATTCCTCCTGATGAGGGCCTTGCAGTTGAGACGTCCATACTTCCATTGATTGTCTGAGATCCTGTTGTGGAAGAGTATCCTTCTTCCGTGTCGCAGGGGCAGCAGAGTGCTGCTTACGGCCAGATGTACAATTCCGCTGGGTTTCCGCAGCAGCAATGGAATCAACCATATCAAGGTACGTTCCTTGTTGGCGTTCCAGTGCTAGATGTTGCTGAACTGCGGTTGAATTCTTGGAGGAACTCTCGTGCGAACTTGTTACTGCGTGCACTCTGTTTTTGCTTCCAGATCCGGCGCATCACCTTCTGATCCTAGCCGCTCTCGCGCTTGCCCGTTGGTGTATCATCTACCTATGTTCAAGCAACTCCTAAGCACGCACAAACGTGTGTCTATGATTCTAGCACTCTCCCTGCACTACCATCATTCCCCGCTTCTTTGAGTACATTTTCCGAAGTGGGATTTCGCTACATTGCAGGCACCCAGCCAAGCTCGACAATGCAAAACCAGAGCCAGCAAGGGGCTGCCCAGCCCGTCTACAAAAGCTTCCCGGGCTACGGAGGCTCAGTCGCTCCTTCCTCTCAAGACGCCTCCAAACAGGCAGTGTTCGCCCCTCCCTATGCGACACAATCCCAGTCTGGTCAACAAGGGCAGCAACCGGGCCCAACTCAGCAAGCTCCCGGCTTCGGCACTGTTCAGAACCCTCGGACTTCTCAAAATCCTCAAAGCTTTCAAACTCCCCAAAGCTTTCAGAACCCCACCACTTTCCAGAATCCTCAGGCCCGTCAGCAAAGTCAGAGCGCTCCCGTCCCTGTGAACCGGCCAAGTGGGCAGTCTGTGTACGAACTTTACAACCCGCAGTCAGGCCAACCGTCTAACGCCGTGCCGAACCCTCAGTCGCAACCAGCCAAAGGGCAGGGGAATGCAGCTGCGGCGCAGAATGACCTCCCCCCGTGGACTCCTGATTGGAGCCCGCCGCAGGCGTCAAGCAAGCCGACCGAGCCCTCAGGAGCGCAGCCCACTGCGCACACTGGGGGACAGCTGGCGGGCCAATCCGGCGGCCTGTTCGAGGGCCAGGCTAGTGGCCAGTTTGGGGGCCAGATCGGTGCGCAGTTTGGAGGGCAGGCCCGTGGGCAGACTGGGGGTCAGTTTGGAGGGCAGTCCAACGCTGGACAGATTTTTGTGCAGCCAGCTGGCGGAATGGGAGGACAGTCTGGCGGGCAGGCGGGCGTTGGGGCAGTGGGACAGAGCACCAACCAGTCGACTGGCCAATTTCCTCAGATGGGGAGCAGAGGTGGGCAGGTTGTTGGGCAGTCAGGGGCGCAATCCAACGGGCAGTGGGGGGGGCAAGCCTGGGGCCAAGGAGTTGGCCAAGCTAGTGACAACTCGGGTCGGCAAGTGAGAACTGGGGACCAGTCATTTGGGACTGAACGGCGGCAACAAGGAGTGCCTTTTGGCGGGTCGCAATTGAAGGGGCAAGCGGGGGGTCAGCAGAACCTGCAGAGTGCGACTCAGTCCTCTGTGGGGGCGCAGCTGGGCTCACAGAGCGGCGGGGCTTCAGTTGGGCAGTCTGGTGGGCCGACGGCTGGCCATTACGGCCACTTCGGGGGGCAAACACAAAGTAGTGGGGGCGCCCAAGCGGGGGCGCAGCCTGGGATGCAAAGGAGCGGGCAACAAGGGGGCCAGTCTGGGGGCCAGTCTGGTGCGCAGTTTGGTGGGCGATATGGCGGGCAGTCGAGTGGGCAGGCGGCAGGACAGTCCAGTGGGCAGTTTGCGTGGCTGTCGGGCTTGGGTGGCCAATCAGCGGGACAGCCAAGTCAAGCTCAAGGAGGAGCATTTGGGCAGCAGTCCAGCGGGCAGTCGACCGGTAGTGGACGTTTGGGTGGTCCAACCACCGAGCAGCTGGGGGGGCAAGGGGCGGGACAAGCTGTGGGGCAAGCTGGGGGAAGAGAAGCGCAGTACAACGAGCAGACTGGAGCCCAGACTTTTCAAGGTGGGGGGCAAAGTTTGCCGCAGAGGGGGGGCCAGCCTGGCGGGCAGTTTGGTGGGCAGTCTGTAGCGCACGCAGGGGCGCAGTCGAGCAGAGCGCTTGGTCCTCAACCAACTGGACAGATGACCAGTCAGTCTTATGGTGCCTCCAATCCCCAGCAGTCAATACCTGTGCAGAGTTATGGGCAGGGGTCCGCTCAGCAAAGTGGGGTGCAGTCCTGGCAGCAATCCAATCCTCCGTCTGGCCAGCGAGAGCAAAGAGGCGGGAAGTTCGTACAACCCGAGTCGCCGCTTTCGCCTGCACATCCTCCGGGGTACTCTCCTCGCGTGCCGCAAGGAGGTTTGAGCTCGGGGGGAAACGGGGGACAGGCACGGTTCCAGGGGGGTTACGCAGGACCGCAGGCTCAGCAGTTTGGTGGTGGGTCATCTGCAGGGCCCTCTGGGGGGAAGCCGACTCATCAGCAGTTGGAGGTTGCTCGGGAGCAGCCCGGGGGGGCGTATGGGCACCCAGCGACTGCTTATGGGCAGGCGGGAGCAACACATGGGCAGCCGGGGGCCGCTTCTGGTGAGCAGGGGAGCACTTATGGGCAGCCGGGGGGCACTCAGGGGCCGCAGGGGAGCACTTATGGGCCATCGGGGGCAGGGGGCGCTCAGGGACAGCAGGGGAGCACTTACGGGCGGCCAGGAAACACTTATGGGCAGTCAGAGAGTGCTCAAGCGCAGCCAAAGAAACCCAAGTTTTCGAGAGCGGATGCGTCTCCCAAGATACCTTTGCTAAGTGCGTCGGAGCTCGAAGGCCTGCACAAGTTTGTGGAGTTTGGGGAGAAGGTGCTACAGCAGGTAGGGAGTGCTCCGCCAGTTGTCAGTCGGCAGTCGCCAGCTGTTAGCAGACCGTCGCCAGCTGTTAGTGGGCAGCCGGCAGCTGTCAATCAACCCCTGCAGGCCGAGAGCGCACATCAGGGGGGCGAGGCCATTGTTAGAAACATGCCTGAGGCATCAAGGTGGGCATTTGGGATGCAGGCCCCTCGGTCAATGGCTGTGAAGGCTGAAGATAAGCCGGAAATTCAACCGTCATTTGGGGGAAATGTCCCAGCCGGAGAGACCCCCGCACGCGAGGGAGAAACGCAGACAGGGCCTGGGCAACAACCGGGGGCGCAGGTTCAGCAATTGACGGCGCAGGCACAAGCGGCATTCCCGAACCCGTATGCCATGTTTGAGCGGAAGTCGGGTCCTGCGGTTAGCGCAGACCTGCCCCACGTGTCGCCGCAACAGCCTGGAACAATAGGCGCGAACGTGCTCAAAGCAACGGAGAAAACGGGCACGCATGAGGGTCAGAAAGCGTTCGGTGTTCAGCAAAGTGGTCAGGGTCAACCAAACCCGCAGCAGGGTTTGGCGACAGCTGTAAACCCCCAGCAAGCGTCTGGACGCGGTCAGCAGGCCATGCAGAGGGGTCAGAATCAGCAGCCAAACTTTCCTGCCCAAGCCAACCAAGGTCAGTTCATGCAGCAGGGGCAGGCTCAGCAGCAATTCGGTGTCCAATCGGGTCAGCTGCAACAAGGGAGCACTAACCAACCTCAATTCCGACAACCCAGTCCAAATTCCCAGGCCCAATTCACGCAGCCCAGTCCAAACCCCCATGCGCAGTTCCAGCAACAGCTGTTGGCGGGCCAGATGAACCAACCGCAGGCTCTGCCCTCGGGACAGCTGCACCAGCCCCAGATGCAACTGGGCGCCCAGATAATCAATCCTGGTTTCCAGCAACCCAGTCCCCAACCTGGCGCCCAGTTCAACCAGCTTCTCCAACAGCAGCAGGCGAATCAGAGCCCCTTCCAACAGCAGTTCTCCGCCCTGCCAACCGCCTTCCAGCAGCAAGGCGCGCAGGGGTTCCAAAACCAAGCGGCGGGCCAGCGACAGTTTGCAGCCCCAAGCTTTGTGAGCCAGGCACAAGCGGCGCCCCAGGGGCTTCAAAACCAGGGGTCCGGGCAGCAGCAGTTTGGCGTCCCGGCTTTTGGGAGCCAGCCGCAGATGACGCCTCAAAATTCGGGGTCAGGGCAGCAGCAGTTTGGGAGTGGGGGCTTTGGGGTCCCGCCGGCGCAGAGTGACGCGGAGAGGAGGCGGCAGCAGGCAATGGCGATCTTGGCGCAGCAGGAGAAAGAGCTCCAGGAGAAGAGGAGCCAGCAGGGGCGGCAAAAGGCGCAGCCAACCATGCTGCAAAGCCCCACGAAGCAGGTATGTGGTGCTTGGCGATTGTTGCGCTGTGGTGGAACTATGCCATGTGTCTTCTTACAGGCTTTCTTCCTTTGTTTCTTTCCTGCTTTGGTCCTTTTACAGTCAAGTTCGAGTTCTTGCGCTGATGGCTTCACTTTGCCAAGTGCTGTAATGAAGAAACATAGGTTCGATTCAGTGGCCTAGATTGTGCTCTTGAAGAACTCTTTCAAAGAAATAGCAGTTTTGGGTAAGCTGCTCTTTCTAGGTGCTACCTTGTGCTTTCTCCAGGTTTTGGAGCGATCGTGGTGGGACTTAGGAAAATTTTTGCAGCATGGAAAGGGTTCTACGTTTTTGTGTTGTTGACGATCACTAATTTGCGGAGTGTTGGCACCGCTTGAGTTCAGAAGTCGAACGAAGCCGGGCCGGCCGGCAGTGACTAATCTGCTTCGATTTTCCTGCAGAACACCTCCCTTACCCCACTCCAACAGTTGGCCGCCCTCAGGAAACTGGAGGAGGATAAGCAGAGACGCTCCCAACAGGGGGGTCAGCCGGCCCAGCTGCCAAGCCCTGCCGCACGCCCCCCCCAAGGACAGCCGCAGCCTCTCATCGCCTCCCCCGCTCCAAACCTTCCGCCGCAAATGCAGCCTTTTCCGGCGCAGACGCAGCAGGCTTTCGGGGGCCAGCCAATGGGGACCCGCCAGCTGGCATTGGGTCAAAACGCTCCGGGGCAGGTTGGGGTTACCGGGCTGGTGGGTCAACAGTTTCAGGGAGGGATCCCTGGCAAGTCGGGTGCGCAGCAGCAAACGAGCGGTGGGCAGGGTTTTGGACCAGTCCAAAGTTTCGGACAGGGCCAAGTTTTCGGAGAGAATCAGGCCTTCGGTCAGGGGGGGACAAATGGGCAGGGGCAAGCTGGCATTCCGGGCCAGGGTTTGGCGCAAGCATCCGGGTTTGGACAAGGGCAAGCGTTCGGGCAAGGGCAGGGTCAAGGCCAGGGTTTCACACAAGGTCAGGGTTTCGGACAGGGGCAAATCCAAAACCAGGGTTTTGGACAGGGTCAGAGTTTTGGACAGGCGCAGATGGGCGGACAGGCGCCATTCTTTGTGCAGCAGGCGCGGCCGGGCTTCCAGCCTCAACTTGGTGGAACGCCCCAAGTGCAACCGGGGCAGGTTATGGGTCAGCAAGCCGGCCCCAACCAGGGGGTTATGCAGGGCCACGCAGGAGCCAGCTTTCCTAACCAACCCCCAACCCAAGTAAACCTTCACAGCAGCCAAGCTAGCGGCGGTGTTGGGATCAGGCCCAGGATGCCGACTGGCGGAGGTTTTGGGATGGCCCCTCGGGCGGGTTTAGTTAACCCGCCCGGGTTAAGCGGCCGCCCGGGGATGATCCCCGGGGGCCAGCCGCGGGGCCAGGGCCCAACGCCCCGGGGGGCTTTCCAGGCCCAGGGCCGACCCCCCCAGCAGGGGGTGAAGAGGCCCCTAGTTCAAGACGGCGGGCCGGGGAAGGGCCCGACACTGCGGTGCGACCCGTGCGAGAAGGAGTTTTCGGGGCAGGACGGGTACAACGCGCACATGGTGGCGCACGAGAAGTGCTCCGAACCGGGATGCGGGTTTGAAGCGTCTGGTGAGTTGGGTAGTGCCTGCCTTATTTGGTGACTGGCTCGCAAACTTGTGAGCGTTCGATCCGCCCAAGAAGTAAACACTGGACTGTTTGCAAAGGCATGTTAAGTTGCGTAGCTCTTCACTGAGGGCGGTGCTATATGATTATGCGATGATGCGGCAACTGTGCGAGGATCAATGGGCTTTTCGAGTAGTGTACTCAGTGTTCGAAAGTCTGAACGAAGCGTTCCTATCTTGATTTGTATTTTCAGCAAGTGGTTAACTGTGTCTGGGGCCGTTTGAGGTCGGCTACTGATGTGATCAGAGGATCGTCAACACCGGCAAAGGTTTCCAAAAGCGCATTTTAAAATCTAAAGCAGAAAAATATTTGTTCAACAGCAATTTGCAGTATGAGGCATGATCCCAAGAGGCAAATGCTGAGCGGCTGCCAGTCTACTAACAGGAGACGCAAGGTTTTTTTCCATTTCCATGATTCGACAGAAAGTTGAAAGCTTCCACTGTTCGACAATTGCAGAGCCTTTGTATTTTAGCTTCTTGCCGAGAAGGGTCGTGGAAAAGCTCAAGCTGTCCAATCGCAGTGAAGCCGTACTCCTCGTTTCCCTACAACTTGATTCCTACAACTGAAAGTTTTCAAGTCCTACAATCCGCAGAAACTTGGGGTCTTCGACTGTGCAACAGTGGCTGAGACTTTGTGTTTTGGTGGCTTGCCAGGAAAAGTCTTGAAAAAGCACAAGCTAATCGCCCATACGTCCACCAAGAAAGAGGCAACAATTCGTCCTTGTTCCTCCCCTTAAGACAGACTAGGAATTTCTGATCGGCAATGGCTGACTTTCTTATTCTTTTCCCGCCAGGGAAGGTCCTGAAAGAGCACAAGCTGAGCGCGCACCAGGCCGGCAACAAGCTGGGGCGCGCGCGCGCCGCGGCCACCGCAAACGCCAACGAGACCGAGGAGGACGTTAGGAAGTGGCGCGAGGAGCGACGGAAGCACTACCCGACGGAGGGCAACGTCCAGAAAAAGGTGGGGCTTTGCGCACGCTGACCAGTGTTTGTTTGTCTTTGTCAGTCCTCCAATTTCCCAAAAGAGAGTGGAGAACAGGGCAGCTTGAAGTTTATGCAAATACAAGGTTATCCGTGCCCCAGCGAGTGCAGATTGGGTCTCCTTCTGAGGTTGCTGAATAGATTACCTACTGGTACTGCAACGTGATGTGTTGTTTAGGTCTAAAAGCCTGACGCTTGTGCTGTGGAGCACTTCTCGACTCTCGGACCGTTGTCAGCTCAGGAGCAGCAGCGGCCCACCTTGCCTGGAGACTCGTTCCGTATCTCCCCGGCCTAGAGCCACCGAAGCATGTGTCAAGCGGAATCTTTTGTCTGGCGGCCATTCGTCACATGTGAAGACAGCAGTAAAGGTCCTGACACTATGGTGAAATCACTCATTTCCGTCTGGTGGCAACTCGCCACACCTTGAAGACACCAGTAAAAGGTCCTGACACTATGCTGAAAGCTACTCAAATCTTTATTCTCCAAGAGTTTGTGAAACGTCAAACCCTTTGTCTAGGCAGAGCAAACGGCTGCCCGGGGCTTGTTCCATTCTCACTGAAACATGTCTCGATTCTCGAACCTTTTGACTGGTAGCAATTCGCCACACTCAGAGACACCACTAGGAAGTCCTACACCCTACACTAAAAATCCTTGAATCTCCATATGCCAAGTCCCTTAAACTTCAACCCCTTTGTCTAGGCAGAGGAGGCGGCGGCCCGGCGCGCCCGCGGCGAGCTGGAGGACCTAGACGGCGCCGCGCGGCGCGCGCGGCTGCGCGAGATCCTCCAACAGCAGCGCGCTCTGGGGGTCGTGGTCGCGGAGATCCCCCCGCACATGCTGCGCGATTCGGCCCCCCGGAAACGCCCCGGGGGGAGGGGTCGGAAACCGAGGCCGCGGCGATGCTCGACGGGGGGAAGCGGCAGGCGGTGGAGGGCCCGGGGGGGCGCCCCGAGCGCGGGGTGTGCTTCTTTTTCCTGAAGGGGCACTGTAGGAAGGGGCGGCGGTGCCAGTTTTTGCATCAGAGGACGCCCCGGGGAGAGCGGGTGAGTTGAGCGATGAATTGTTGGTGATTGGCCCTTTGGATGAGAAGAGTATGGCTGGGTTCAGACTTCTGGTCAGATGAGGATGGGGTGCAGAGCTGCGCGTCGGACGTGAAGGGTTTGCCCAGTCTTCCTTTGCTTAATCCGGATGTATTATCGGCAGTGTCGAGCTGCGGTTCGGACGTTATTCTGGACGTCTTTGTTGACGTCTCTTCTATCATGCCGGGTTTATGATACGTTTATGAATGATCGGAAGCGGAGTTTTGGCGGTAAACTGCTCAGCAATTATGTCTTCATCTCCCGTCAACCCTCAATCGATGCAGCGACTTTTCCTTTCGTAGGCCAGTCTGAATATCCAACAAACGCGGCTACTCATGGTTTTGGGCCCCGCTGGCTGCAGCTTGACTCTGTTGTGCAGTACTTTCCGCCCTGTCCTAATCCGATCCGCTTTTGACAGGGACCCGGAGGACCCGGAAACGACCGGCGACGACAGAATCAAGTGGCAAAACGAGCACCGACTCTGCTCGAGAAACTCTTGGCGCCGGAGGTGAGTCAAGCATTCAAGACGTATCTCCTTCCTTTTTTCTTTGCTGCTTTTCTCGTTGATACTTTAACCCTCTCAGTCGGCACGAAGTTTCGTACCCTAGTTCGAAAAGTCTTTCACATCATCATATTTGCAGAGCATTTGTCACTTGCACAGCGCTCGGCCCATAAAATCAGAATACCAATGCGCTTGAGCAAGGACAGATTTGTCTGCGGAGCGACTGTCCGCCCCGTTGATGCACCAAATCCCATTTAGTCAGATCACGCAGTTGTTGAGTTGGAAACAATCCAGAAGCATCTTCATGGCACAACATGTAAGAGGTGAATTGGGGCCAGGTTTCTGCTTGCCATTAGAACGAGATATTTATATGTGATCAATCCCTCCGCAAACTGCGCTTGAACCAAGAGCAGGAGGTCTAAGCAGTCGTTTGACACACGTCCTTTTTGTGAGCCCAGATTCGGAAGGACAAGAGCCACCTCCTCCAGAGCTTCCGCTTCATGGTGAACAACAACTTCTTCCTCGAGTGGCCCCAGCAGCCGCTTAAATATTTCGAGTGGCAGTCAAGCGACGAACTAGAGGAGGGTGGGGATACTGGCGCAGAGGGAGCGCCCGAGGCGTTAGTTCATGATGGGAAAGCAGAGGGAGAGGGAACGCTAGATGAGGAGGAGGAGGATGGTAGCGACTATGAGTCTGCGGGCGAGGATGACGAAGAGGCTGCGCTAGAAGTAATGCTAGGGTGAGTAGCTCTGAGGAGGGTTTAGAAGGCTAGTAGCAGGTATCTGTAGATGAACGAGCATGGGTGTTTTGAATGGAGCGTAACGATAGTCGGTGTGCATAGTCAAGTCTGTACAGGGAGTTTCGAGAAGAAAGAATGTTGTGTTTGAGGCGGTAACTTGTTAATGATTGGCTATAACGGGGATGTTGCCGTTTGTAGCATGAGCGAACGCTACCTTGGACTACTTTCTGAGCTAGCAAGTTCGCACAATCTTGGCTCTTGGAGAATCTGATGCAGCTCATGGTTTGCGATGTAGCACACAACATTTAGCTTCGATCAAGCTTCATGTTCTCATGTTTATTGTGATGTCAATACTTCCTCTTGAACCGTTGCAACCAGCTATTCGCTATCCGAAGTTCGTAGCCGTTCCCATCTATCGACTCTCGACTCTCGCTCATCTGGCATGCACGTCTTGAAAACTTGCATCGACTCTTAGGACAGCGGATTCGAGCCGTGGAAGACTACCGTCTCAGAGTCTACCTACCCGGCTATGTTTAGTCTTACCAATGCCATGCCCGGCTGTTTCGGAACGTCCGATTACCGTTATTGAACAGATGGTCAGTTGCGGGAGTGGTGAAACTCTTTGCAAATCAAACCGTTCATGGCACGTGTCCGATGTATCTGACGGTGGAGAACATCGTAGTGCTGACGAAATATCCGATCATGTGACACGAATCATGATGCAATTCAAATTTGATATGACGCAAGATATTGCCGAGCGCCAGCTACCGGTTTACGGTACAACCCATAACGCGGTCTGATTGAAAGTCATGAGGGAGTTCCGACCGAGACCTGTCCAGAAAATCTGGAGCCTATGACAGCCGTTCGATGACTGGACCGGTAGCAATCGGAGGGTTGACATGGTTATGAGGATCTATCTGGGATACGCAGATTTACCATCCCAGCTGGCGGTAAAACTTTGGAGATCTGGTTCGATTTGGTACAATATCAACGGGCGTCTGTAATTCATAAGCGGACGGATCGTCCCAGATTTTGACAGCTTTCCCAATATTACCATCTGCTCCTTGGGAGTGCCCCAGACCAGCCTCCAGGCTGAGCCTGTGTCAAAATCCCTTCGAATAAACTGGTAACTGTGAGACCCAATAATGCCGTGATTTTGGGGTCCCGTGACTGGTCAGATTTTGCCAGGGTGGCAATGTCGAGTTGCAAGTCCAGACTCCAGACTCCAGACTCCAGACTCGGTCTCCAGCTGGACCGCTCCTGTCACCTGTGACGCTCTCTCCTCTGATCAGAGAATCCTTGAGCATTTTTGTGGTCTGGTCAGCGGTCAAATGGCTGCAAAGTTCTGGGTTGTTTGATAGCTTGAACAGCGAAGGGCGGCAACCTGCTGCATGCAGAGAAAAAAATTTCAGCTTGGACCTCAGAAAGAGTGCATTGGAGAAGAAAGGTGCCACATTTTGGTGACGCGGTTCTGTTTGTGTCCCCGCCCTGCTCTGCCGATGGAACATAAACACAGCAATGAAACTGGAAGTACATTGCTAATCCAGTGGCTGTCGTTCCATTTGTGCCTCAATGTTGTAACTTGGTAAAACGGCAAGCCGCAATCCTGTCCATCAGCGCCTGAAAAGACCCTGCAACAATGACGACAAGCACTAGCGCTTTCCTCACGTCCCTGTTTACCAACATCGTGATCTTTGCTGTGCTCTTTGTGGTCTTCCTGGTGCTCGTGAAGAGGGCCAGCCTCGCTGTCATCTACTACAGCAAGAGAGTACTACAGGGTTCAGGGGCCCCTGATCCAAAGTCTGTGGGCCCTTTCACATGGCTGAGGGATGCCATTAGGGCGAGCGATACGGAGCTCGCAGAGAGAGCGGGACTCGATGCGCTGGTTTACATCACGCTGTTCAAGACGGGTGAGTGCTTGGGCTACCGGATCATACATCGAGTATGTATTTGACTGGGTTTAAAAGGTGCTTCATGAATGGGGGGTGGTTGCTAAAAAATGTAGGGAACGTTTTGCAATAGTTGCGCCTGAAGCAGAATGCATTAAGCAGGTGCAATGGAGTGCAATCAGACGTGTCAGATTGGTAGATTGGATTGTAGGAGCTAACGAGCTTCTTCGGACAAGAGATGCACTTCCTGTGGTGAACGATTGATCACACCTTCTCTTACAGGTCCCCATTGAGAATTGTTAGCATCCGGAATAGCACCACCTCCCAAGTTTCTAGAAAAACTATGATCATAATTTTGCCCCTGGAATCCACTTTGCTGTTCAGGGTTGTATCAAAAAAAATTTACTCTGGTCGTTCCTGATTGTAGCCACCACAGCGCTTCCTGCCTGACTCGTGAGCTGACCATCCCCGTGCAGCGATCCAGATTTTCGGAGTGTCAATGCTGTACTGCATCATCATTGAGCTCCCAGTAAACGTGACTGGCGGCTACTATGAAGACTTCAACTCCACTCCCGATGTGGTGGCAGATCCCAACAAACAGATTCAGTTTACTGGTTTCGACAAGATGAGCATGGGAAACATCTCAAAGGTGACAACATCCTGCTTCTCTAAGTCAAAAAGTTTCTTCCTAGTTTGTTTCATGAAGGCGAAGCTATCAGTATTGTTTGCTTGCTATGGTGCAGCAGCCAAAGGTCTCAACAATCAAATCCTGTTTCGATGGAATGCCTGTGACGGTGTGATCCAACCATGTGTCGCAACTGCTCGTTTTCCTACCCTTCATTGGACAAGCCTTGTGTTTTTCCCACGAGGATCTTCACAAACTCGTAAAAGCTGGTTGCCACCGGTCGCCGGTTGAACCTTCAAATTGTTTAGCTTGTCGGCTTTCCCCCATTCGCTGTTGACTAATGCTTCTTAGATGTAGTCACAGAAGACTTGCCAAATCTGTTGACTCTTTCAATCATGACCAGATTACAGTGCCGTAGGATTCCAGGCATAGGAAGCTAAAATGCAAGTCGTACATCTGCAATACCAATCCCGCTCATACTCCTCAACATTCTTCGATTCTCTCAATCTCATTTGAATGGTTTTCCATGCTTTTTCCATATTCTCACACACATAATTCTCTGCACGTGCAGAAGTCTGCCAGACTATGGTGCCATGCGTTTGCCTGCTACTTTGTCGCAATTACCGCCTACTACTTCCTGTGGACCAACTACAAGAAGATGTCAGACCTGCGAGCCCTGTTCCTGGGTGGTGTAACTAGAGCGGCGCCCCGTCAATACGCCGTCCTCGTCACCGACATCCCCGAAGCGGACGCCAAGACGCGCCACTCGCAAGTCGACAGCTTCTTCCGGAGGCTGCACCCAGGGACATTCGAGTCTGCAACAGTGATCTCAAAATACGCCAAGGTCAGTGACTTCAATCTGAATCTGCCAAGGGTGTCAAGAAGCTTCCTCAGAGCGGTGAAGCTCCTCAGAGCGATCCGGTTATGAACATGGTGTGACCATTGCTGATGTCAATCCCAGTTGATGCTTTGGTCTGCTTACTAAAGAATCACTTGAAACCGGTTTTAAAGGCGAACGACTTGTGTACAGGAATGTGACCCCTTGCGACCTGGAGCTAAGCAACGCAAAAGGCCGTTAGGGAAAACCAGGATTCTCTGATGATTGAAACCAAGCAACTTGTAGAGCCACCGGGGAAGTCTGCGGCAGTTCGTAGAGAAAGTGATTCACCATTTCATCCCTGACCGTGCCTCGTGCGTGGCAGGTGGAGAAGGTGTACCAGGAGAAGGAGAAGATTCGCAAGAAGCTGGCCCACGCTGAGGCGGTCTACGCTGAGGCGCAGAGAAAGGACGTTGAGAAGGCCAAAAGGCCCCAGCACAAAGTGGGGTTCCTGGGGCTGGTTGGCAACAAGGTAAACCTCAAATCCCAGTCGAGCAGGAAACAAGGGCCTCCGAATTTTTACTTCAGCAAGGGCCTGTTGTCTTAACCAATGTATATCATTGTCGCGGCGTCCTTGAAGGTGTCAATGATCCGCTTATCAGCGTTACAAGACAGAATGGTGGTGCGAAGTCAGGTGAGGAGTTGCAGCAGCAAGTAAGCCGCATATGCACTCCATGGTCGCCGAGTGGGGCCTTCAGCCAGGCCGCCAGGTTACGTGCACTTGCAAACCGCTGTCGAGACGCCAAACCCTCCTAAAGCTCAGGCCTTGCAACCAGATTTGGAACAAGAGTAATTTCTCGTTTTTCAGGTGGACACCATTGACTGGTGCCGCGACCAGCTTGCTGCGCTGGGGGCCAAGCTGGCTGACGAGCAGGCCGCCACTACGAACGACAGGACGATCAACTCCGCAATGGTCTACTTCAATTCCAGGGCCGTTGCGACTATGGCCGCTCAGGTAAGGATGGAGTCTTTGGTTGCGATTCTGACAACCTACTTCTGTGTTTAGACAATCTTACGGAGAAGTTCCATGACAAAGTTGCAACATGGGTACCTGCAGCACCTATTGTCGATTCGTGGCTACCTCCAAGCAGATTCTCTTTTGACTTCCATCTCGCTCTACCCGACCACCCCGTCGTCTCGTGAAAGCCCGACAGCTTGCACGTTCTTCCAATCTGCAAAGCATTAAGCCGCCCTTGGATACTAAATTCACCTCTCGTCAGCATTCTGTCCAGGCCAAGATACTCGACCTCGGGCGGACCCACACAGCCGCCCCCACCCAAACCCTCTCTGCTGTCTTCTTCTAAACAAATAACTCTGTGAACTGACCTGGTCTTCCCCTCTTTTCCCCACAGTCTGTCCATGCGAAGAAGGCCGAGACGTGGCAGACGCAGGTCGCGCCGGAGCCGCGTGACGTCATCTGGGCCAACCTGGGCATCCCGTGGTGGGAGAAGTTCGTGCGGCAGAGCGCGGTCTACGGCATCACGTTCCTCATCGTCTTCTTCTTCATGATCCCCATCACCATCGTCTCCGGCTTCAGCACGCTCGACAACCTCAAGAAGTTTGCGCCCTTCCTCAAGTCGGTCTTCAACATGTGAGTGCAGCGTGACTGTTGGCTCACACTGAAGCCGTTCCGACTATGTTCGAGGGCGTCGTTCTTCGGTTCAATCAGTGTACGAGCTTCAGTTGGCCCTTTCATTCGTCGATGCTCTCTGTACTTCAGCTTGTCCCGCAAACCCCTGCTGCTTATCGGACATCTTCCCCCGCTTGTAATAGTCCCTGATCCTATGTGATTGACTTTGTCTCTTGTTGAGCTTCATTAGTAGAAGGGGTGGTCACAGACGCGGCCGCACATCGTTCCAGCCAATGTTTACCGACCTTTTTCCCTCCTTACATCGTCCTGATCTCATTCCCTGTTTGTTCCAACTCAACGACGCTGTCCTTAAGAGATGAAATGTCAACAGCTCTTGATCCTTTAGACCCTCTTCCTCCTGTATCTGCCTCTTCCTACCCGCTTTCCTAGCTCGGTCCGTGAGCTCCATTCTGCAGGCGTTCCTCTCACAATCAAAACGAAGCTCAGTTTGCCTGCCTTCTCGTAACTGACACCCACTCTTGCTCATCTCCGCAGTTCCGCGATAAGCGCGATCCTGCAGGCGTTCCTCCCCCAGCTGGCCCTCATCATCTTCCTGGCCATCCTACCCAAGCTACTCCTCTTCCTCACCGTAAAGGAGGGCATCGCCTCCATTGCGCACGCCAACCGCGGCACCGCCGGCAAGGTGGGAACCACAGCTGCCACGTGGCAGCCCTCCGTTCGTCAGCGCACGAGGCTCGTTCAGGATCAAGGGGCCGCCGAGCCGGGTTCATGTTGATGGCGCAGATGCAACGCTCTGCATAGCTCAGGCATCCGACTCGGACTTTTTACCATCTAAATCTTTCTTGTTTTCCTTGTGGCAAGTCCATTCAGGGAGACTACGTCGCAAAGGAGAGCTTACTCAAGTTTGCAATGCGGTTGCGCAGCGATCTCTGGACCCTGCTCTTCACAAAAATAGCTCGCCACTGTATTGACACAATTTATTTTTCTTGCAGTACTACTACTTCATGGTCTTCAACGTCTTCCTCGGAGTCACCGTCGCCGGCTCTGCACTCGGCCAGCTGAAGCAGGTGCGTCCTTGCTCCGGTCGCGTGCTCTGCGTATGTCCGAAACTAGTGCCGCCATGAAGCCGTAGCTTTCATAGCTATGTGTTCGCAACTTGAATAGGCAGGAGGGCTTGAATTCGCGACCTGTTGGCTCGGTGTGCTCAACGCTCTCGTCATGCAGACAAGCCCTTTGCACCTCTGGTTTGACGGAAGTGCCCTGCTAACGGGCCCACGTACAAGGTTCGAAGTGGATTCTTTCGCAGAACGGTGAAGGGCGTGTTAAGGTCTCCAGAGGTCTGCCCAACGGTCAGAAACACCCGCTCACAAAGGTGGTGTTTCCATGCGGCTCGCCCACCAGAACCAGCATGCCTGAGAACTGGGTAAGACTTCCGCCTAGTTGATCTAGGGAGGAATCTTTCAATCCTCTGAGCCTCACCCCTAACCCTTGCCCTTAACCCTCCCCCGCAGATGACCAAGAACCCGTCCGGCATCGTGGATCTGCTGGGGTCGTCCATCCCGCAGCAGGCGACGTTCTTCATCACCTTCATCGCGCTCAAGACGTTCATCGGCAACGGGCTCGCGCTCTCCCAGGTCGTGCGCGCATTGATCTACCTGGTCAAGCTCAAATTCCTGGTCAAGACCGAGGAGGAGAAGCTCGCCGCGTGGGCGCCCGGCCAGTTCAACTACGGGGCCAACGTGCCGAACGATCTGCTCATGGTCATTCTCGGAATGTGAGCCGAATGCCCCTTTTTCCCGGTCCCTTTGCTTGAGAAGGGCAAAATGTCCACTCTTCTGTTGCGTCTCCTTTCTGCTTATTTCCGGCCACGGGTTTATCGTGCCAAACGACCTTCTCATCGTCCGTCATCCTCGAGCTGAAAAGTCTTCCTTTGTGGTGCGAACGCTTTTGCTTTCTTCGTCTCGTTTTCTTCTTTTCTTTTTTCTCGGGGTACTGTCAACTCGGTCTCTGCCCCGTCGCGTCGTTCTCTTGTATATTCTACGGGAACAAAGGCTGATTGGCGGAATTGTCCTCCCTCTTCATGCTGTACTAGTCCTTTGTCCCTCTCTTTGCTCCTGTCCCTTTTTTATCTCTTTCTTGTGAGGAACGAGCGTTGCTCTTATTTGTTACATTCTTGACCGCTCTGCCCGTTCTCTCTATCTCCCCTCTTCCCCTTCTCGAACGCCTTTCCCTGTTTCTCGATGAATAAGGATCGAGTTTACAGATGGGGTGCCTGTGTCCCCCTTACTGTTCGTTGATTCTTTAAGTTTGCTGTGCAGGTGCTACGCTGTTATTGCGCCCATCATCCTCCCCTTCTGTGTGCTATACTTCGGACTGAGCTACGTGGTCAAAAAGAACTTGGTAAGCACACTCAAGCGCATCTCGACTTTCCGATCGGACTAGCCCTCGCAATCACTTCGATCAGTAGCGTTCACTTTTCGCCAGGACTGCCTTTCAAGGCGCCTGTGTTTGTTGGGAAGTTTGCCCGCATTTTCCAATCCTGACTCTTTTGCTTTCTCAAAACACGCTGAATTTCCGGGTCCCTCATAATCGCATCCGAGAACCCCTCCGTTTTTCCACCTTCAATCAGAAAGCCAAACCTGCTTATTCAAAGTCCGCAAGAGCGGCTGCCGTTTGTCCCGAGGACAAAACCCTTCAGCATTTGCGCGAAAGTGCTTCACAAATTTCGAGTATGTACGGCAAACCTCAAGTCCCAGACACTGCCCCTGCTGTTGGCAGGATATAGAGGGTATGTTCCATGGGTAGCTTGTAAGCTGGGCAGCTGAAATCCTCAACTGAGGTGCGTCAAATCCCGCGATTCTACGTCCTGAATGCCTACGTGATCTTCCCCAGAGGCCACGCTCCTTGATTACGAGAGCGGCGGACGAATGTACCTTGGCATGAGTGTCTCGCTTTAGGCGTTTTTAAAGTACCTAATCCCCAATCAAGCTCTAAACCCGTGGGTTTTAACAACAGCATCCCCCTTAAAGCTGCAGGCCCTGGAAGTAATGAGTTCCGACTACGAGAGCGGCGGGCGCATGTACCTTTGTACAGGTGTCTCTCAGGTTTGGATACCTAAGCACCTAAACCCTCCAAATTCCAGCCTTAAATCCTTCAAAATTAAATTCCCGATATCCCCAAACCCCCGCAGGTGCTCGAGGTGATGGTTCCTTCACTCCAAGAGTGACGGTCGCATGTACCTCACACTATCCGTCAAACTCCTAGGTTCTCGAAATTTCGAAGTTGGAAAGGCAAATTTTATAAGCCCGTTCCCCGCAGGCACTTGAGGTGATGGTCCCGGACTACGAGAGCGACGCGCGCATGTACCTTGGTATAGTGTCTTTCGGTTTAAGTTCACCTGAGCATACCTGAACCCTCTAGGATTAAGCCTTAACCCCTTCAGCCTGAACCCCTTCAAACATTCCCCTAAGCCTGCAGGCGCTCGAGGTGATGGTTCCTGACTACGAGAGCGGCGGGCGCACGTACCTCGGTACAAGTGTCTCTCAAACCTAGGGACTCCAAACTACTGAAAACCTTCAAGACTTCAAGCCCTAAAAACCCATAACCCCGTTCTCTGCAGGCACTTGAGGTGATGGTCCCGGACTACAAGAGCGGCGCCCACATGTACCTCGGTACAAATGTCTCTCAGGTTTGGATAACCTAAGCACCTAAACCCCTCCAGATTCCAGCCTTAAACCCTTCATTCTAACCCTGATATTCCCCTAACCCTGCAGGCGCTCGACGAGATGGTCCCCGACTACGAGAGCGGCGGGCGCACGTACCTCGGTACAGATGTCTTCCAGGTTTGGATTTATAAGCACCTAAACCCTCCAAATGAAGCCCTAAACCCTTCAAGTTAAACCCTGATATCCCCTGTCCCTGCAGGCGCTCGAGGTGATGGTCCCCGACTACGGGCATGTAATGTTGGTAAGAGCTTCTAATAGGCTTGCATTACCTGAACCCTCCCTACTTTAAACTTGAACCCTTCAAGTTTAACCCGATCTTCCCCTGATCCTGCAGGCCCTGGAGGTGATGGTCCCCGACTACGAGAGCGGCGGGCGCATGTACCCGCACATCCACAAGCGCTTCCTGGCGTCGCTCTTCGTGTCGCAGATCACGCTGCTGGGCTACTTCGGGATCATGCAGTTCACGGCGACGCCCGTGCTCATCCCGCTGCCCATCCTGACCGCCGTCTTCCACCTCTACACCAAGAAGAGCCTCGAGACGCGCTTCTCGTCCACGGCCATCGAGGTCGCGCTCCAGGTGAGGGCTCGGGTTTCAGCATGAGTTGATGTTTTGGGGTCTGTGTCGGGTGCTAAACTGGTGCAAGTCGCTCTGCGTTTCTTGATTGCTGTTCCTCCAGTATCTACATTAGAAGCGCTTAGAGGCGCGCTTCTCGTCCACGGCCTTCGGGGGTCGCGCTCCTGGTGCGGTGGACTCAGAATTTACCGACTTTGAATTTATGAGTCTACGAAAAGTCTGCTGATCTCCAGTTTTCAGGACTTTGTTCTGGTCTGCTCGTTTTGACCGTGGAGGTTCTTGTTTGCACTTTGACGACTTTCGAGTTGCGACTCCCGCCATGGCAAATGAGATTGCTGTCCAGATTCCTGGATTCAAGTACGTCTGCCGCGTTGGCGTTAAAGCACGCATACACGCCAGCTTCAACCGACATTTGAACGAAGTCCAGCGTCTCTGCATCTGCGCAGCAGGCTTGATCCTCTTTCTACATGTCCTTTCTACATAATGTAAACCATTAGAATGACGTGTCTTTGCTTGGTATGTCGCTTGCTCACCCACACCGCTCCGCGCTCTCCACCAGGACGTGAAGGAGGAGCCCAGCGTCGCAGAAGTCACGGCCGCGTACACTCCCGAGTACATGGTCAACGAAAGCGTTGAGACTGACATTGAGGCGCCCCCCTCCAAGGCCCCGGAGATCTACCGGGACTCGGAGCCTCTCACGAGCAACAGCCTGAAGTCTGCATAACTTGTATATTGGATCCTTCTTGGATTCGTCGCGAGTTGAAATAGCTTGCTAATTAACCATTTGTCAAGGGGATGTGTACTAACGCGCTAAACTAAGCCTCGCTACTAGTACTGCCATATCGTAATGGCGGAGTACGAACCTGACACGTAGTTGCTAGCTTGCTAATGTAGGGGAAAGCTAACCTTTGTAGCTTCAAAACTTGGCCCTGTGCATAGTAGACTTGAGGGCCCTTTGAGTTCAGCATTTAGAGTTGCGGTGCCATAGCAGTATGTTCAGCACTAAGTTTATTCCTTCCGTTAGGTCCACTAATAAACAGGTTGCCAAGAGCGTCAATGTCAAACTGATGTGCCCACTGGGCGACTCCTGAATCTGTATCTATTTTATTCATGCTAGCTGGTCGATCAACAATTTTCCGTTTCGACCATCCATTACACGTTGAACCGAGCTCTATCCCTAGTAGTATCATGGTAGCCCCTCAAGGACCGTGCACTACGGTTGTACGTCAAATGTATAGGGCGTGCGCAACTGGGCGCTATCGAAAGTACAAATCTTGATGGCATTCCGATCTGCTTCGTAATCGTGTCCGACTCTCCGGTTGTAGCAATGATGCTGAGATCTGACATGATGTGCGCGAGCCCTTGAATGACCGTCCCGACGAATTGACTATCGAGTTGCAGATTCTTGCAAAGTTCATCATCCGGGCCAGGCAGCACGTCCAAGTCCATTTGTTTTTATCGCGCTGGCTGGATGTATATCCGCACGAAAATCTTTTTTGATCGAGTCGGCACCATGAGTCTGGTACGTTGGAACTGAAAGTTCATTGTAATTTACAATGTACACCTCGACTTTGTTCAGTGCCAGCGTCCAAATATACGACGTATATAAGTACGCCATGTTCCAACGCAGTGGACCGCATCCAATCCTCATAGATGTGCAGCTTGGTGTAACGACCAAGTCTGCAGACTGTATGTATATCATAAGTAGCTGAACCAAACTAGCAACTACCTCTGACGAACTCGACAAAAACCCAACCGTAAGGGCTGACGAAGTTCAGTTCCACAATGAAGACTTCTTCTGGCGCGAAGCATGCCCGGTTCTTACGCTCGTTAGTGGTTCAGGTTCATCGAGCCAGCTCAGAACCTTGGGACTTTAACAGCTTAAAATGCAATGTCCAAAATTCCAAGTCCCCGTAAACTAGAACAGACGGAACTCTTTGGGGAAAGCCAGGATGGAGCCATCAGCGCCGGGGCTGATGTCGACGCCCAGGCCGGATACGACGTAGCCGTTCGCTCCGCGGTACTTTCCGGTTCCGCCGATGATGGCGAGCTCCGTGACCTGAAGCGGAAAAGCGAAGCGATGTTAAGCTCTTGACAGAGGACTGGTTGAAGGGTTGCTCACATATGTTTGTTCGACCATGTGGGAGTTGCACTGGTGGTGACGATTATTCGATCCAGAAAGTGCGCGACCCCAGGAGATTCTCGCCCGGAGTCCTTATAGGGACAGGCAAAGAGCAGCCTTCATTCGCCTTTTCGTCGAGGTAAGTAACATCCCGAATGAGGATTCTGACTTTTGAATTCCATGAATGGTAAGTGCCAAAAAGGGTAAGCTCCGTAATGGGTGACAGCACAAACCCAGATTCCAGTGCGCACTCTCCGCACCCGTTCCCGCTCTAAATCCCAAAGCCAACCGGGCCACCAGTGCCAGGCCTCTAATACCCTTCACGGGGCTAATCCATAATGAAACCGAACGCAATCTTTTGCTTGATCAGTACCTCTCAACTCCCAGCAACAAACAGCATGTGCCTCGGGCGAAGCCTAACCGAGATTCGTAACAACTCCTGAACGAAACCTTACCTCGGTGGATGCCGTGCCGATGGTGTTAATGGCGTCTACCGGGCCCTTGATCTCCCCGGTGGTGAAGTAGAAAGTGGTCGAAGCGCTCAGGAGGTCGGACGCCCCACCCTGAAATGTCGCGTCGATCTCGACGAAAGTGCCCACCTGAGTCTGCAGGTCGGACGCCAAAATGGGACCCCTGCAGCGGCGCACGGCGAGACGAGCGTAAATTTGCTGAGAGTTGTAGTAAGGGTGATAGGAACGGAAGAGGGAAAACAAACGAGACTCAAAGAGGAGGTAACGGAAGTTATGGTGGAGGTTGATGGAAAAAGAAGAGGGAAAATAAGCGAGATCCAGAGAGGAGGGTAAAATGGGGAACCGCTTGAACACACCGGGCTCGTCAAAAGGAGAGTGCTATACGCGAGGGGCATAGCTGATGGTCCTTCTGCTCGAACCCACCAGACGGCACGGCCGTGCTTCAACCCAAGGGTGGAAGTCTGAAATGGTGAAGTGGGAAGTAGGAGAAACGGCAATGGCGACGCAGACAGTGGACTTTTGAAAGCTCCGAAATTGCTCGAAAAAGTCTGCCCGAAAAGTTTGTGTGGGTCATTTCACGATCTGATCACGCATCAAACCCTCCAGGGTTTTTGCTTGAGCTTCCTCTTTCAACGGCAATCCCGACATAGCACTTCGATTCAGGCGAACCCTCAAAGTGACGAGTCGAAACGCATATTTCAGATGAGAAACACGTCCTTTTGCAAAGCGGAGATTGCTGTCAACAGCCGCAATCACGAGAAACTTCGTTAAGAGAGTCTCCAGATATGGGTTCTCGTTCCAGGACCACGTTCTGATCCAGAGTTTCTGCTTGAGAACCCAAAAGCTTCCGCATCTTGAAGCGGGAAACTGCCACGTGCCAGTTCTTGCCGCGGCACCCAGGACACCGTGCTCTGCATTCCGACGTTGCCACGATGCTGACATCCACCCCTCCCCAAGCGCTAATCTCACTTATCGGAGTGCACGCATTCGGAGACGAATGCTGACATCATCTTGTCGAATACTCAATTGTAAACGCAGACGTTGCCGAAAGGCAACAAAGGAGTTACAATTTCGAGGTTTCTATGATGCTGACGTCAGCCTGACGGATGCTCACTTGTAAACGCAGATGTCGCCGAAGGAGAACTGTCCCCCGGGGCCCGCGGCCTGGTTGGCGCAGTTCGTCTCGGGCTTGCTGAAGTCGAACGCGAGGTAAACCGTCCCCAGCTGCTCGGAAAGAGATGGGTTGATAAAGCTGGTTGACTTTGGGTTAAGATGATCCATGTTGATTGGAAAGGTCGAAGCTTCGAATGCAATTCGTCTGGGGTTTGCTGAAGTCGAACGCGAGGTAAACCGTGCCCAGCTGCACGAGAGAAGAGATGGATTAGCAGAATTGGTTGATCTTGGGTGAGGGTCCGTCTTGACTGGAAAGGTCGAAGATTCAATTGCACTGGCGGGACACTTGACTTGGGCGGCTATCCATATGCTTCGAGGCTTTTTCAGGGTCGTGAACGGATTACTAGCAAAGGGTGCCACAGGGAGAGAAGCAAAGGGCTCATGAACTCAGGTCACGGAGAGGGTTCTGCTTTCTCAAGCCTAAGACTAAGTCGCACGAGAGCCTGCAATACTGCAGTTCGTAGCGCTATGTTGATTGAAACCATTCTTCTTCTTGACGCGCGAATTATGCCACCATCCGACAGCGGAGTCGTTGAAGTGAATCTCAATAATACCGGTCACCTGACGCACCGTGTGCAAAGTCACAGACAGACTAGAGATAGACAAACGCGCAAGATGAAATGTCTGGTACGTACTGGTCCTCCCACAGTTCTCGGTTAGCCAACGAGGACAAACAAACTTTTCTGCAAACTTTAATCACTATGTTCGCCTAAAAATCAAATAACAATCAGGTTCGCACATTGGTAACAAGCAACGAATATTTGGGTTTGCACGTACTGGTTCTGACGTAGTTGGGCTAGAAAACACCGTTCACCAGACCTGTTAATGGCTCGCCCAGTGCCCTTCTTCTCAAAAGAACGAGTTTGAAGCCTGGTTGATGCTCATCAACCAAGCTTGGTTAAGGGCGACCAAAATTTGTGTTTGCACTTACTGGTCCTGACGAGGTTGGGTTAGGCGTGGGTGCCGCAGTGGGTGCCGGAGTCGCCGGCGGGGGGGTGCCCGCGCAGGTGGCGGTGACTCCCCCCTCGCCGGTGCTGGGGCCACAGGCCCCGGGGCAGCAGATGCTGGCATTGCCGGGGGCGTTGTAGCAGGGGTTGGGGGCGGCGGGGGTGCAATCTGGGGGGGCAGAGGTCAAGGCGTCTTCTTGAGATGTTCTTGAGAATGTTTTAAAAAAAGCAAGCCGAATATTGCGGGGGAACGAAGTTGGAAAGAGGGGACTGATAGGTAGAGGTGACACACGTGGGGATAGTCTTTGCCGGAAGCAGGGGACTCTGGGTGTTCAGAATTGTACTATTTTGAAGCTGATGGGACTGATTATGAAAGGAGGAGCACATCAAGAAAGTACTGTACCTGTTGTGTGCATGTGAAGCAGTAGTCGTCATGCATCGGTACGCACAAACTTGTTACCTCCTAAATACTCATCACCAGAAATGAAACTGATCACCGAGGTGCCCAGTTACTGGTGACGCCTCATTCATAGGAAAGCTACTGAAAAGTCACGCTGCCGTTTGAGTCTTTCACGTCAAGACCCTTCAAGGAACTCTGCAGATCAACGTAACGTTACTGTACTGGCATGATATAAAGAACTTGCAAAAAGCGCTCCCACTCACAGCTGGACCTCCGTGCGAGGAATCGAAGTCATTTGGGGGCGCTCAGTTTCAGCTCACCTGCGTTTGCCAGTCTCGCAGACGACGCAAGGGCGAGAATGGCAATAGCAGCCACACCTAGAAACGATGCGACCTTCATCTTGACAGTAGGATTAGGGGCTTCGTAGTACAAGAGACGACTGGAGAAAGCTTGTGAGAAGAAGTGAGCCCTCAAAATGCAAGAAATGAAAGAGAGCCGAGGTTCTTTAAATGGAAGAAGTTGCCTTTTCGAGACGGAAACTTGAAGCCTCTTGAAATCCAAATCTCGTTTATATCAATGGAAGTCCCTGGTTCTTCTAGAAGTTGCAAAAGAGCAGGTGTATGCACGTGATTCAAGCCTGCAGGGTCTGACCCTGTACATGTGATGTGCCTTCCCAAAAGATGTCTTTTGGTACATTAGAATATGCCTCAAGGCTGCATCTGAATTTCAGTTGTACAATCGCTAGAGGCAGTTACATTATGAACACGTCTATATCGGCACATAATCATAGCGAACTGGAGCAGAGTCCAGCTTAGCATGTCAACATTCAGAGTCAACGCTCTTTCAAGTTAACAGCGACGGATCAAGCGTGCATGGCACCATCATCAGTTCGTACAGTTGCATGTTTCAGGGCGCGGCAGCTAGGATTTTCGAGTGCATAATGCACAGTGGTAGGTACCATAAGCTATGCGGGTAACTGTCGGCCAGCTCGCGGTCCAGAGCCTCGCCGACCGTGACTGCACTCTCACTGGCAGGCTCCGTCGCCGCAATGCCGCGTGCGCAATCATCTTACGAGCAGTTCACGCAGTCCACAGACGAGATCTGCAGTTTCCACTGCGCAGAAGTTCTTCTTCACTTTGAAGTCTGAACACTTTACAGGTACCTATCGATCTTCTAGACCAACCCACATGGGGATATTCACTGATCTTTGCATCAGGATATTTAGTGATCTTTGCGTGGGGATACTCACTGCATATGATCTTTGCATGAACCCGGCCTCGCGCTGACCTCAGTTCCAAGGAATTGCGCTCGGCATGCATGTCATGCAAGCACGCGACTCAAGTGCAATGTATGACAGGAAAATTACTGTAATCAAGTTGGAACCAAGCTAGCTGCGCATGCGATATTGAGCGCGCTAGCTGCATGCAATGCAGTTATTATCCCTTTATTGCGCCGCACGGTGCATGCACGTACTGTTTCGATTGCACTTTGTAGTGCACTGATTGGATTTAGCCTGCCCTTCAAAAGATCACGGTAATCAGCAGCGTACAGTAGATGCGGCACAATCCTTGCATACGGTTGGAAGTGCTGCTACCGTACTAGTAGTGATTCACGTGCATGACCGCTTTGGCCCCTCCTCCGGATCAATGTCGCAAGCCAAGTCAAGCCCTTAAGAGATCATGTGTAGCGCAAGCTTGCATTTGATTGTCACGTACCTAAATCTTTTTTTGCCTTGAATGAGTTTGATGCAAGTCAACTGGTCGCCCATCAGAGACGTCTTTGTAAGTGACTCCTACTGGCGTCAACCTAGCTGTCTCGCCATTGAGCAAAGCGTCGAGCGGGCCGCTTGAGATCTGATCTCGCCAAGTCTTGCAGAGATTATTGCCTAGTTTGTCGCCGGCGGCTGTCTAGACCACGCTCCTCTACAGCGGAAGCGGGCCAGCATTGCATGCTAGCAACTTCAAGCCTGCATTTCCGCCGCGTCTTTGAAGCGGCGATGATTTGTCGATTCCCTATCATACACGCCCCGATGTCTTCGGCTCCGACCGAGCAGCTCATGTGGTCGTTGTACTCTCGCCCGTTTCAAGCGCTTCGACCTGTAAACATCCATAACCTCTTGACTTCTCCGCCAGTTATACTTGCCCGATTGAGCAGAAAAGACAAGCAAAGGCAATCGAATGATTCCGAGCCCCGAAAGCACAACAGCTCGAGCAGTCACTTTGGTTGTCTAATATGATTCTTCCTCTTTCGAGACCATTAGAGTGGACGCCGGATTTAAAAGCTCTGAAAATGCGCACACAGTGAATTCAAGCCTTTGCATTGACGACCATAACAAAAGACGGTCAAACAGAACCCTGAGTTGCCTTGAATGGATACGTGTTTCCTACGCTCGGTTTAAAGCATCGATTCAGGCTCACCTTCCGGCTGAGCTCCTCGCATCTAGTTTGTAGCTCATCGTACTTCGCTTGAAGCTCCTCCTTTTCTTTCCGCAGCTGCTCGAACTCCTGCGGCGTCGGGCCTCCTAGGTGGGCCTTAACAAAGCTGCAAAGCCGAAAGCGCATGCTGTTATCTTTGTGACATCCTTATTCAAGCTCTGTTTGTGACTTGCGGTACTGTGCATGCAATTGAGTACCCTAGATCTAGGTGAAGTAGTGAACGAAGGCGCTGCGGTGTAAACAACTCTCTCAACTGTTTTGTCAAGAGCGCAGAATGGCGCAGAGATCTCAGCAAAAGGGTACGTAGTTAACAAGCAAGGCGAAAGTCTAGATAGCGCACTGTAAAGCAGCAAGGTGCGTAGATGGGGGGCAAGATGCACATGAGACTCAAGGGTTAGTTCTAAATCACAAAGGCCACATTTGCAGAGCAAGGACAAGCTTTGTTCATGAACGGAATGGGCCTTTGCCAGACATACGAAAGGAGAATCACAAGTGTAGGGAGCTGGTACTCATGGCAAATGCTCATTTTCATCTACAAGATTATTTTACAAGGGTGTGGACCAGTTCTCAAAGACGGGACTTTCAGTAAGGCCCTGGTTTAAGGGGCAATCAGATCCTGCGGTTTGCGCTTGTGTAGTGATCTTCCAGAGGTCCCGGATGTTTCTTTCTGCAGTTGGGGACTCCGGTTTTGGCGGTCATGTAGCTTTGTGGTTGTCCCAGAAGTAAAGCTACAAGTCTGTTCGATGCCTGTCAAGAGTGTTGAATCTTGTGGCAACAGAATCGTCTCTAATCCATTTTGGCTAGGCAGGAACCCTTTTCAGATACACAACCAGAGAATGACACAAAGCTCTGGACGGATGCACTCACTCAATTCCCGTGGGAGGCTTCTCTGGCTCCTCGTACAAGCTGACCAGGACTGCACAGAGCGGAAGAGCGTTTGATGGATGGCCGCACAAGGGGATTGCGGACCGTAAACCTGGCTTTTCTTTTCTGCTGCAAACTGTGCTGCAACCGATCAAAGATTGTAAGGTCTGCTGATCATCACTGGTGAAAGATGGAGCACAGGCGTGATATATTGCTATCTCAGAGTGGCCTTGAATGAAACACTTGCTTTGCAAGACATGTGAAGGCAAGGTCGGATCCTGTTCAGAGGACAGAGAGCCGAGTGCTCAAAATGTTTTGCTGCAGTTACTTTCCGTTCCTTCGACCAAGTCAAGAGCCCCGCACAGCTAGATGCGCTGGCAAAGGATACTGGAAATACCCAATCAGGCCCTCAGTGATGGGCGAAAGAAACGAAGTTTCTGCTTCCATAGCGTTTGGTGAGAACACTTCAGCAATGAAATCCATGGGGCCCCCAACTTCGGCCCAAATAACTTGGATTGTTCAACCAACATTCAGTGAGCTCGGGCAAACGAGCTGCATTTGAACTAACATGAGCGACAACCTCCGGCAGAAGGAAGCAGCGGAGGGGTAGAAAAGGGGACCATCATTTCGGAGGAACTTCGTAGGCAAGCAGATCGTAGTCTAACAGATAGAGATGTATAGTCTTAGGACACAGGCAGCTTAAGAGTTGTATGCAAATCGCCATCCGCTGAGCTCTGGGGCGCACCTTTTGTCAGGGAGTCCAGCACCCCGCTCGACTCCAGGTACTTCCTGAAAGCTTCCTTCTTGGATTCGGTGGCCTGGATGCACGTTGAATGGGCAAGATTAAGAGCCTTAGCATCTTCAAATGTTTGAGTGAGCTCTAAGCATCGCACACGTTGACTTTGTATGACAATCCCACATTCTCAGATTATGCTGGAGGCAAACTAGGGGTTGGGCCAATCTCAGTAAGAATGTGCACAGCTAAAACCATCAATACTCGAGGAGTGCAAATCAAGCTGTAACATCTGGTAAATGTGCTACTCCTTTAATCCTCTAGCTCATAAAATGGAAGGGAATCCAGCAAAGTACACGGATGGGCACACAAATCAAGCTGCGTCCACCGTATGCCTGCTAAGTCCTTGAGACGCTCAAAATTTTAATGGCTGCATCAGCAGACAAAACCCAAACGGTTGCTCACCATGTTGAGCAAGTTGTGGCTTTGATGGCGCAAACTTGGCCCTCGCAGAAGTCCAGCTCCTCAAAAATCTCTACGGTAGGTGGATGAGCAAGCTAGGCGCTTCTTGCTCTGCTCGCCCTTGAGCATCCTGAGAATGATCCGCGAGAACCACTTCAAGTTCAAGTTGTAGACTAGCAGAGCTGCTGGCTCAACTACACCTCCAGTTAAAGATTAGGGTTCCGGCAATCTGTTCTGCCGGGATGTCGATTTACTACTCCCGTATATACACCTCCGGAGCATCGAATTTCTGCTCCAGGCATCTTAATACGGCCCAGATTGGAATGAACATATAGCAACTCTATTTTCATAACCAGAGGGTTTTGAAGCTCGTATACAGCTGCCCCCGGCGTTACTGGTGGCGCCCATTAGCTGAAAACAAATGCCAGCTAGTCGGTTCTGTTTCGAATCAAATACAGAAGGATGTAGGCGAGTAGGCGCCTGCAACGAGCACTCGATTCTTAGTATTTTGGCGGGGCCCCGGTCCAGATTGTCGAATGTCGGAAACACCACGTGTGCTGGAGGGTTTAGGCACTGCTGAATGAGAAGCGGATGGGATCCAGAACTTCGGTGAGTTGAAGTTGTGAGTGCCTAAATCATGTGCAGCGCACGTGGTGAGCACCGACAAGACAACCGGTATGGACCGGAGCGGAGACGCGAGTGCGCGCGCAGGCGTGGGGGCCGCAGGCAGTCCTGGCGAGCGAGGACTGTGGGAAGCGGACGTCGAATGGGGCGCGTCAGACTGGTGAGGCAGCAACATGGGCTTTTAGCGGAAGCGGGGAAAGCGCCGGGAGAATACGGCAAGTCAGAGGTGCTTTGATAAAGCTGGAGATGGATTCAGTAGGATGGGCAAAGTTTTGTGTGCCGGGGGAATATGGCTGATCAGGTGATGACGTTGGGTCAACGGCTGGACCATATAGCTGTCCAGTGTAGAGGCGCCGGGTGAATAGGGCTGATTAATGGTCATGAGTTCGGATAGAGAGTCCTGTTGAGCAGTATAAATAGGGTGGGAGAGGCGGGAGACGCAAAATTCCTAGCGGGCGCCCTTGCGCCAAAAAGCTCTTCTGAAAGACATCAAGACGAACATAGCTTCTTTGCTTATGATTCGGGTCGAGCTTCAATTCCGTCGAAGCTCAGCCGTCCGATTCATCGGGTCGAATCTCGGCCCAATAACAAAGCAGTCCACTAGCTGAAAACAAATGCCAGCTAGTCGGTTCTGTTTCGAATCAAATACAGAAGGCTGTAGGCGCCTGCAACGAGCACTCGATTCTTAGTATTTTGGCGGGGCCCAAAAGCGATATCGCCCAAAAGAATGACGGGCAAAGATGTGCTCGTTGCAGGGGGCGATGGCGGAGCGGTGTAGAGGGAAGCTGGAACCGCGCGCGTGGAGTGGGTGCGGTGCCAGCAGAGCAACGCGAGGCGCGCGAGGTAGCGGCCGCGCGGGAGAGATATGAGGCCGCCGTGCGGGAAGGCGGCCGGGTGAGTAGGAAAGCCGTGAGCGGCGGTTTCGAAGAAGAAAGGGAGAAGACGTTTGCAGAGTATCGAGAGTCTTTGACCAGTGTGGGATGTCCAGACGTGCTGGAAGCTGTAGGGATGGACGTTGTTGCGTTCATCCAGGGATGGTGGTTGCCAAATCACGAAAAGAATTTTCGAACGGTGGTAGAGGGGGAGAACAAGAAAGTGGCCTCGGCTTCGGCCGTGAAAGCCGTAATTGGCCACGTAGCAAAAAGTTACAGTATGTTGGGAGTGGCGGACGCAGTGAATCCGGCCAAATCGGAAGCGGTGAGGAGCTATCGAGAAGGGTACCGGAACGAGTTGCACGAAAGGGGGGTTCGCGAGAAGCGAGCGAAAATCATGTCTGAAAGTAAAGTGACACAGCTAGTGGAGCATCTAAATAGAGAGGTACGAAGCCGGAAGGGGATCAGCCGATGCTGTGCCGCAATGGATCGGGCGGCAGTGTTATATTTGTGGGAGACATGGGCGCGTGGAAAGGAGTGCGGAACGGTGGAAGCAGGGCAGGTTGATGTGGCAGACAGCATAGTGCGGCCTGGGTGGAGTAAGACAATTCGAGAGGAGCCGAGTGCGGAGATCCGGGTGAGAAGCGGCGCCGAGCCGAACACGTTCATTTGGGCAGCGGGGTTGCTGACGCATGAGATGTCTGAGTGCAGCGTGGCCCCTGGAAGGGGTTATCTGTTCCGGCCGTTGACTCGGCGGAAAGATGGCTTTTTGGATGAGTCGTTGAGTGCGGGGGCTATGAACCGGCGTGTGCAGCGTCATATGCAGCGTGCGGGGATGCACAACGGAGAAACGTTGCATAGTTTCAGGCGGTCTGCCGTGCAGCATGCGGCAGAATTGGAGGGGTACGACGTAGAAAGATTGATGTCGTTGGGGCGTTGGAAAAGTAAGAGTGCATTCAGAATATATGTGGAGGAGATTGCGGGAGCGTTCGCTCGAGGAAGCATGTAGCGTATGAGATACATGAGCGAAAAAGTAGGAGGATATTGTGCTTCAGACAATTAGGTCGATAGCGGCCAGTAGATGTGTATGGCGGCCAAACCTAAGAAGGCAGGATTTATGGTCCGACTTGGAACCCTAAGACTCGGAATGCAGGAGGACTCAGATTTTGGAATGAAGAATGGCTCGGATGCGTGCTGCCGAGCTGCGACGCGCAAGCCGAGCCATTCGTTAGACTGCTTCTGGAACCTCGTGATCAGAATTGCATTTATTTTGTACTCTCGAATGATACCGATTGCTGCATGGGCTAAATGAGCAGGGGGAAAAACCCATGCTACTTCTTGATTTTGTAGATGGGCCCTCCAGTCGGTTCTCATGGCTTGAACAGCGGTGCATCCCGGCTCGTAGAAACGAGAGATGAAACGGGGGCAGACGTGATGCCTGGCTGAGGCAAAAACGTCAAGGCTGGGCGTCACGCCAAAGTGACGGATGACGTCACCGACGACGGCTAGCGCCAATCCCCAGTCGGATGAGTCAGGTTCCCGTGAGAGTGCATTCGCCCTGGTGAGATTCCGCCGGGGAACCCAGCGTGCTTGGACGTCACAGCCGAGCGTGGTGCAGAGGTCGAAAAGGCGGCGAAGCAGACGGTTAAGCGGGGGATTGTTGCTTCGGAAGTTGTTGATGGTGTTTATCGCCGGCTGGCTATCTCCGGTGATGAGCAGGGTTCCCCCGTTTAGGTCCTCGGGGCGGATTTGGGCAGCGACTTCCAAGGCTGCGATGTAACCGGTTAGTTCCCGGACTGCACTGGCTGACCCGGCCACGTCCAGGTCGAAGGAACCGGTGAAGGGAACCGGGGCATGACCACCGGCCTGGATCTCTCCGCCGAAACCGATTCCGGACGCGTCGACGTCCGCTCGAAGCGTCACCGGATGAGGCCACTAGGGGCGTCCGTTGAAACGGCTGAGGTTATCTAACCAGAACCGGGCTGATTGTCGAATCGCCGACTGGTTTGGGAAGAGCGCGTCGCAGGACAGTCGCCCCTGGATAGCCTCGAAGAAAGGTATGCTGAAGAGGGACGCCGGAAGGACCACAGGACCGGCCGAGACCAAGCGTCCGGCTAGCGACGCCATTTGTCGTGCGGACACCGAGGGCGCAGCTAGGACTTCGTTTGATTGCCGTTCTAGTTTGGCTAGGCGGTTAGGGCTTAACCTGAATTGTTTGGTTACGGAGTCCACCAGGAAGCCGAGCCACTGCCGGGTTTGCTCCGGACGGAAATGGCATTTGGGAAGGCCGAAAAAGGGCCCCAAGCGCGCCCAACAGCTTTGCCACAGCCGCGAGCGACTGTAGCAGGCAACGAAGGAACGTGGCTGCGGCCGTGAAACCGTCGTCGATGTAGTCCGAGATGGGCACGCCGTGGCTCCGTAGGGTTTTGGCAGGCTCGTTCATCAGTTTTGTGAACAGGAAGCAGGCTTGGGATAACCCGAAAGCCGGGACGTTATAGTGGAAAAGCAGACGGCCGACTCGGAACCCCATGAATTTCCTGAAGGACGGATGGAGCATCACGTGGTAATACCCTGACTTCAAGTCCCACGTGGACATGAAGTAATTCTCTAGGGTGAACGCGAGAACGTCACGCAAACGCTGGTACTTGAAAGGCAGCTCTTTCAAGAACAAATTCACGTAGCGGGCGTTTAGGAAAAGGCGCAGTTTCCCGTCTTGGTCCGCCACGCCTAGGGGGTTCACTACGACAACCGTCTCGTCGCCCGGTTCGACAATGGAGACGGCTCCCCAGAGCAGGAGTTTCAGGATTTCTGGAAGGACCAGTGTGTGATGGTTGGCCAGCTATATGCAGAGAGCTGGCAGGATAACTACACACGATCAGCTAACATGTGCGGAAACCATGAAAGCAGGCGTTCTCAAGCGATGGCGCAGCTC